GTTTAATTTAACAGTTTAAAATTGAAAACGAGGTTAATAAATAGCATTAATTTTGAAATATTTGTAAAGAGTGGATTTGAAATATTATTGCAAAATTTTTCTCGGTTAGGAAATTCTTCAAATTTTTAGAGTGCAAATTTTTCTTTTAAAATTCCACAAAATACAGATCAAGATTACACTTCAGTTACAGTTTTGAGAACAGTAGCAGAAATATTGACAAATTTTGAAATTTTTGTGATTTATCCGAATTGAGAAAGTACACAAAAATGCCTAAAATACATAAATATCTATCTAATGTATAATTAATTGCAATCACATCTTGCAAAGGATTCAGTCAATCTTAACTAACTTTTTCTACATGAAATATCGTTAAAAAGTAAAAAGTGGCATTGAATAATAACACTACTTTATTACCTGCTAAGAAATGATTCCTTGATTTCGAGAATTTTTCAAGTTACTCAGATAAGCAAAAATCGAAGTAGTAATGAAGGAAAGGTTGTCTGCAATTAGCCTTTAATGTGCAAATTAAGATTTGCCAGTGTACTGCAAAATCTTACATATCCATTTTTTTAAAAGTTAGAAATATTGCAAAATTTGGTGACAATTTATTCGACTTCGGAAGGAAATATACATCTTTTATTACTAAGTTTGTATAAAATGTTCATTAAAATAAAATAAACATATGTTAAAAAATTATTACACTTACATTCTTAGATTTTGCAATCTATACAACTTCACAGAAATTTTAATATAGGATTTAGACATAAAAACTTTCAAAAGTTTCCTACTTTTCTGCAAATTGCGATTTGTCGATATGAATATCTATCTGCAAAACTGTACATGTTTATTATAAGGAAAGAATATTGCGAAATTTTTTATCTTTTAATTCTAAACAAGCCAATCATTGTCTGTGATCTTTTTATTTCTAACTTTTTACAAATAATCATTAAACTGAAAAACGACCTTGAGAAATTACATTTATTTTTGGAATTTCCCCGAAATCGGTTTTCGGGGAGATACATAGATGCATATCGCACATTAATTAGAAATCCAATTTACATGAGCAACCTTTAATAAGTTAACTAACTTATTACCCCACGTTTGTTCGATATTCATTAAAATGAGATTACGAAATATCTTACTTTCTAATTTGCAATCCTACTCTTTGCCTTTCGAGTTAAGTAATGTAATTTGTTGTGTAGAAAAAAAAAGTTTGCGAAAATTTGCGCAACTCTAATTTCCCCATTCTTATTCATCGAAGGAGAAATTTGGGAGGAGACCGAACAATGCGGTGTGGATCTCGATGTCGAAATGCGATGTCACAATGTCGTCGTTGTTCAAATTGGATGGATTTTTGGCCAGTTGCTTATTTTATTTTTGTGAATACGTGCAAATTGTACATTGCGCAAATTTGTGTGCTCACTATTTATTTATAGCGAAGAGAGTGAAAGAGACGGAGAAAGAAAATGATGAGTCGAGAAGAAGAAGTAAGGTGATCAGCTTGGTTGGTTGGTCCGTGGTTTCGTTGCCACGAGAAATTTGTCCTTTCATCATCATCATTTCGAGTAAATCTATAATGCTGCGGCGGCGGCCATGGGTGTGCAGTCGATCGAAAAAGGGACGAAGGAAGTCTAGATTTTGGATGGACATGTGGCGAGAAATTGGGAGTTAATAATTCCGAATTAAGGTAAAGGACGATTTAGAGAAAGTCGGAAGTTAAAATTTTAGGGACATGGAGAAGTTGCGGAATAAGGAAATTGGAAGGTGAAGAAGTTCGAAGTCAGAATTGATTGTTTCCCTGGAGTTGATTTAAAATCTAAGGTTTCCGGAGATCAAAATCGCTTCATCATGAGTCACACGTCGTAAATTTGAAGAAGCTCGGAAGTCGTGCAAATCGGAAAATATGAAAATTTTTGTAAATATGAAAAACTTATAAGATTCGAATGATCGAGTAGTTTGAAATCATAATCGATTTTTCGGCCTAGATTATTTCCACACGTAAAAAAATGTCTGTCGAAATCCAATTTCATCTCACAGTCTCCTCCCTCGCCCACCTATGTCTGCCTAAATAACCACGCTATTCAGGGAGAGAAGAAAACAGACGCAAATCATGACACACGCGGACGGAATGTCACCCACACCATATTTTATTTAAGTGGCCCTGGCATCTCTCTCTCCCAGACCAATCTGCAAGTCTCCTCCTCCAGGAAAGACGACAAAAATTAAGTAAATCGAGTTTCCATCTTATTATCAAGACAACCCGACGAAAGGAGCTTATCAAATTTGAATGCACGCCACAAATACCTCATCTATCAATATGAGATTACGATTTCCTCGAATTGTTGTTGTCACATTGAATCAGTTTCCGAATCCGGACAATAGATCGGATTTGGGACACACATAATTCCGTCATTTCTGCCCAGATTCATAATTTCGTCATTTCTGCTCAAAGCATTTTAATGAATAGGAACACAAAATTGGTAGGATTTATTTAATGCTTTGACTCATGTTTAAGTTGCCTTAATATTTGACTCGTTATTACCAATTGTTTGTCTTCATCGAGGAGTTAAGTACACGATTTTGTCCGTGGTTTACATAGGTACCCACTAATTTTAATGAATAGGCAGAGAAATTAATAAGATTTATTTAATACTTTGACTCATATTTAAGCTGAAATGTTATGGCGCAAAGGATTAATATGACCACAGATTTTCTAAGGTTCCCACCCTGATTAACTTTTCCGCGGAACGGTAATATCTCATCATTCTAAATAATTTGAATGAATAGAGAGACAGAAAATTAATAGGATTTATTTAATACTTTAATACTCATATTTAAGGGGAAACTACTTGTCTTCATATTTCACAAGTTATGGCGTAAAGAGTGGATATGATCAAACATAAATACATGATTTTCCCTGTTTTTTACCCTGATTTTGCTTTCCCAATAGGAGGACAAGCCTCATTATGCAGATTATAGCGGGGAAAGTGGGCGGTGAAAGTCTTCGAATTCCAATAATAGCTAGATTGAATTGTTGACATAAGTATTTGCAAACGATTCTGCCCAGGTAACTACCCGCAAACTTTAATGAATAGGTACAGAAAATTAATAGGATTTACTTAATACTTTGACTCATATTTAAGGTGAAATGTTTCAGAGCAAAGAATGAATGAACATGACCACAATTAAATACCCGATTTTATAGCGTAATTCTCAGCCTGATTAACTTTTCTCCGAAATTTGAATGAATATACATGCAGAAATTTGAATAGGATTTGTTTAATTCTTTGAGTCATATTTAACGTGGAAATACATACGTCGTGCCTAATATGATCAAACTTAAATACACGGTTTTCCGTGGTTTTTACCCTGATTAACTTTTTCCAACCTACTTCATCATATTACAGTGAGGGAAAGTCGCAGATTCCAATAATAGATGGAATTTGTATAAGTACTTACAGATAATTATGCCCAGGTGAAAGTAGCTCCCCACAAATTTTAATGAATAGGTGCAGAAAATTAATACGATTTACTTAATATTTTGGGTCAGATTTAAGGTGAAAGTAGCTTTTATTTATCATACTTCACTTTTTAGCAACCTTGCGCCAATTTTATAGCGTCAAGAGTAAATGTGACCACAGTTAAATACCTGATTTTCCTCTCTCACCATCATTAACTTTTCACCAGAAGGAAGAAAATACCCAGTGTTTCGCTTCTTGCAGGTTTGCTACATTTCTTGCACTGGAAAGCAAACAACGCAGAAAATGCGAGGTGCAAGAAACTGGGAGAAAGTGCAAGAAATAAGCGCCATCCACCCACGCTTCGTATATAAACTATAACCTCGGACATTTAATATAACATTTTTATAACATTTTTTGCGCCTTGCATTTCTTGCAGGTCAAAATAAACACCTGCAAAAAACGACTTTGTTCCCATAATTCCTTGGATATAGTTACTTTCACCCGAAACACTGCTAAAAATATCTCATCATCCTGAAAAGTGACGGAAAGTCGTATCTCGTATGTACCTATAGGAAACTAAATCCCGACTTATTTTATTTATTTATGTGTATCTACCTCGTCTCTCTTTTGACGTGGTATTGAGGGCGAGGTGGTGATCCTATGAAAGAGGAGATTATTTCGCGACCTCATTTCATTCAGGCCCGATTTGAAAGGAACATAAAATCCGGAAGTAATCTAATTAGAGAAATTCTTTTTTAGAAAGAAGAAAAAGAAGAGATGACATGTGGACAAAAAAATTGGATCGTGGTGTCACTTTCACTTTGAATCTATCAAAAAGTGGCTCTGCAATCTCATTAATTTCGGAAATCTGGATTATTTTGGGTCCATATTGATATGTTCCATTTTATTGAATTTACATAATATGTATGTAAATATATGTTAAATATATGTGAAACAAAAATCTGGGTGAAAATCTCGTCAAAAAAACGAGCAAACTTTTTACATGACAGTTTCGAAAATGTGTGAATATTTTTAGTACCAGTGTTTCGGGTGAAAGTAACCACGTGCAAGAAATTATGGGGAGAAAGTGGTCTTTTTGCAGCTATTTTGACACATTTCTTTCACTTTCTTGAAGTTTCTTACAATTTGCATTTCTTTCTCTGCACTGCAAAAACTACAGCAAATCCACACAAAATGAAACACCGTTTAGCCCAAATTGATACCATCTCGTTAAATTTATACATGTACATTATGCAAAAATATGTGTCACAAAATCTTCTCGAAAATCCCGTCGAAAACAAAGACACCTACTTTTTACATGACAGCACATAACACAATAAAACTTGTGAGAAAGTGTACTACCTGTCAAAGTTCTGGAGAAAGTGAGAAGAGAACCACGTAGACAAGTAAGTGAGTGAGTGAGTGAGCAAATAATAACGTGTGACACATGAGAAGAGAAATGATCTCGAGATTTGCACTTATTCGCAAACCGATGAGATGGATGAACAGTGTGATATGCGAAATGAGTCTTTCACTCACCTGGCTTGACTAGATTGGCTCTGATTACGGGATGACTCCTTCACTTGACTCCTCAATGGTTCCCTCGTCACTCAAGTGGAATGATTAGTCTCGCGATGAGGAGATTGTCAAAAATGTGACGAGTTTTCTGTCCCCATAATTTTTTAAGGGGGCGCTTAAATGGAAATATGTAGGTCTAAATTGCGGGAAAATTTGCACGTTGTGGGGGGTAAGGTTTTATGAATCCGCGAGGTGAAAATAGGTCTCGTCGGAGGCAGGGTTTTCGCAGCCATGTCACGCCGTGGCAGGCACAGACTGGGCCATAGTGACAAACTCTGGCCCGCTTTATACCCAAACTTGAAGAGAAAGCTCGTTCCGTCGTCGTATATGTGTGTAGGTTTTTGCACACAAAAACACACACAAGTATATTCACAATCCTCCATCCGTGGTGTACCAGAATACCCGGGTAGTGTAGGGTGGGCCCAATATTCGCACTGCACTGCACCAACCAGCCAGCACGGGACGGATTCCCCTACTGCAGAGGTACACTCCCAAAACTCCGGGATAAACCGAATACTTGGTGAAAAAAAATGTTGGCGAGGCGAAATAGCGTGTCCGAAGTGAATTTTTTGATAATTTGTTTGAAGAGGAATTGCACAGTTTTATGGGAATGACGAGAACGAGGTGATGGATCGGAATGAAGTGACGGATGGATGCATTTTTTAGTGGGCTTTTTAGCCGTAAATTTTAAGGTGTATTTATAAAGAAGGAAGAAGAAGAGTGACTTGTTTGAGATGGGGACCGGGCAGATGGGACGTGGGGAGGATTTTGGGAGGATTTTGACCCTATGAATGAGTTAAGATGAGAAAGATAAGACTTCCTCAGATCGATGACGTTCTTTTTGCACAGTCGAGAGAGATTGTGCAAATTGTATGCAAAAATGAGAAAATTTGGCCAAAATGTGCATCACACTTCACTATAGTTAACAGGTACGAGGATCCTGCAATGATAGTACGGCTGGCATTGACGAGATTGTGCAAATTGCATTGAAATAAAAATGAGAAAATTTGGCGAAAATGTGCATCACGCTAAAGTTCAGGACCCTCTTTTCAGATGGATTACATTCTTTATGCACAGCTCTGAAAGTGAGGATTGTGCAAATTTAATATAAAACCGGCGGAGATAGTGAATTAAGATAAAATTTTGCGAAACCACTGTCACAAAAGGGCAACGGTAAAGGCTACGTCTGTCCAGAAATGGGAGCGTCATATTTATGAATTTTCGTCTCAAATTTTGTATTGAAAATTTGTACATGTGAAATAAACCGTTGCAACGCAAGCAGCCAGGGAGTGAAACTTTACGTAAAAATGATTATATCAATGCCTTCACGAGTTATCGGACCAACCACCAGGTAGAGGAATGGACATAACTACCTTATAAGAGAGTTTCACTCTCTAATAAAAAATTGTACGCTTTATGCACAATTCGCAAAGACGAGACTGTGCGCATTTTATGAAAAAAATAGTAAACTACATTCTCAAAAGAGATCCCTGTCCAGAAATGGTAGCTGAAATTTAAAAAATAGCTGAAATAGACAAAATATATGTACGTGTGAAATCAAAAGTGACTTATTTTGAGCTTTTTTGGATAAGGGTATTTACGAAATATTAATTATACCTGAATCGCAAAATGTGAGAATGGAAACGTATAGGAAATTTATGTGTGTATGAGGTTTACCATTTTGGCTTTTGCATTATGCAGCAGTGTCGAGGAGAATAACAACAACCCACTAATTATTGACATGGAGTCCACGAATCGAGTAAAGGAGCCTAATTGCACAAAGTTTGGTCATTACGCCAATTATTCGTTGGCGAGAAGAAGTATGTATCAGATATGCAGACGTACGCACATAAATACATAAATACGTTACTGCAAAAATTGTTTTATTACTCGTACTATTTCCTCGAGTGTTATTTTGCGTGTGACAAATTGGCACTTCACGTCAAATTTGGTGACCTTAGAGTTGTCGATATTTGACATTTATGGCACGTGCCATATTTGCATATGATTCAAATTTCTGGAAACATAAATATTTCCCCTTTACTTAATTTATAGGGGCGTGTTTACATATTTATGTTTGTATTTATAACTAGTGAAGTGACGAACCTGTGGTAAAACTAATATTTGCCATTGTAAGCAAATTTGCAAAGAGATAAATGGATTACAAATATATTTTTGCTGCAAATTAATGCCCCCATTTAAATCAATAAGTTCCCCATTTTTGTCTAAAAAGTAAAAACTCATGGAATTTATTTTCGTTTTCATGCCATTATGCCATTCTGAATATTTGGAAGAAATATTTTGTGCATGTTTCTGTCCAAAATTCACCAATTTCTTTGAAGCATTTGTCCAAATTTTCATGCAATTTTGCGTTTTATTTGTATACACGGAATAAATATGAAGCGTGGATGCGTATAAGTAAGGAATTTTTTAGAAGGACAGCATTTTATGTGGTGCACGAGACAGTGGAAATCAATATCTTTGCAAAATAGTGGTCCTCTCGCTCTCGCGAGTTTTTGTCTTCCCATCGCATCAGATCAGATCACATTCCTTTCTTCCGTCACGTATGTGGAAGAGCTAATGAAGTGGAAGCCACGCCGAGGGAGCTGAGGAATCCGAGACGGAAGTGAAAAAAGATGGCGACAATGGAAAGTCAGACAATGTAAAATAATAACACCGAGACAAAATCTGGAGGAAGAATTATGACATAATTTCGTAAATTTAGCATATTTTCTTCCCATTTTTGCATGAATATTGGGGTCAGATCTGCGCATAATTGTTTCGTAGGGACACTTGAAGCTTATCCGAATTGAACTTGGCGAGGAAAAAAGTGTACGAAGTTTCATAGTTTTTGCATGTTTTTTTTTAATTTGTTAATGAATTTGGGAGATGAATTGCACACAGTTATTGTTTATGACATGTGAAACTTATCCGAATTACGGTTAAGGTGACAATCTTGAAAAAGTGTAAAAAGTCTTGGACAGTCTTGGAAAAATGTGGGAATTTTACCAATTTATGCACTACGCTTGCAATCTTCTTGTGTGGATTTTGTATTACGTACATTTGTAAGTAATAAGTAACATAAGTAAACTTGTTCATTCTGCTGGTTTTAGTAGCAGGACTTTTGCATTTTAAATGAATTTTGGTTGCTGAAATCCACGTACCTAATTATTTTTTCTGACAGGTTAAACTGATCTGAACTATACATATTTCTGAAAAAAAGCATGTCAAATTTGGAAATTTGACTATTTTCTGCCCCATCTGGAATCCAATTCTCTCCTACGGTTTGTTGTATTCTACTTGGAAAATTACCCATTCTGTTTCGTTATACAGCCGCACTTCTGCATTTTACATGAAGACGTTGTCTCTTCCTCCTCCTTCTCACTCTCTTGTCCCACTTTCTACGTATCCAGATATGTACATACGTAGAAATGCCCGTGTGTAATAAAATGTGCGACGGTGAGGTGAGAGAGACCACGAAACCAAATGACGCCCAAAAGCAGGACAACTCAACTGTCTCCAGCGTGGCTTTTGTCGTCACTGCAATTGCGACATCAGGCTCAGTCAGCGTTTCCAAATTCTGGAGGCTGGACAAGAATAAGTACGAGTGTGGAGGGAGAGAATTGAGTGTCCATTTCATTCACATGCCACGACCACCACCACGACGACGACAATACGACCTCCACTCTCTCCAGAGAGGGAAAGTTTTCACTTTTTTGTGGGCGATGCGATGAGGTCCTCCACATTTTCTGTGACCATGGATCTCATGACCTGGATAGATTTGTAATTTAGGGAGAAAAACTGGGACAGTTTTATGTCTGGATTTTGGAAAAATATGAAAACAACAGGAGGAATTTTATGTCTGGATTTGAAAGGAGAAAGTGGACCAGGTTATATCCGGATTTTAAAAAAAAGAAAATGAGGTGAAATTTATGTCGGGATTTACAAAAAATTGAAAATGGAATCAAGCTTGGTCAGATTTTGAAAAATAGAAAGTTGGACCAGTTTCATCTCCGCATTTAAAATAATAATTAGAAAGTAGCTGAATTTTATGTCTGGATTAAAAATATGGATATAGAATAATCTGGACAACTTTCTAATTTGGGAGATAGAACATAGGACGAATTATATCTATAAAAAATAAAAAAATAGAATATCTGACCAATTTCATATCTAGATTTTGAAAACGATAGTAAAATTGGCCCAGTTTTATCTCTCAATTAAAAAAAAACAGAAAATGGGACCAGTTTCATGTCTAGATTTTTTTTAAACGAGACGACTTTTGGTCTCTATTTTTTATCCACTTATCCCAAGGACACAATTTGTGCTGTGATGTGATCTCGTGCTGGGTGGGCTGGAAAGTGTGCCAAGTTTACAAGTTTGTCCAGACGTCTCACACTTTGCATCCATCCAGAAAGGAAGCTTTACTTACTTACTTTATAAATAAAATGAAACACGGACCGACCGACTTTCTCTTTTACGCCACCACTACCCGGGTATTAGGGAGGGAAAGTGAAAGGAGTAAGAATACCCGGGTGGGTATTGGAGATTGCCTGTCTGTATTAACATCACGACCACGTGTAATAATTTATCGCTCTTACACATATACCGGCAGAGGAGACACACGACCAGGGTTTCGTTTCTTGGGGGTTTGTCACATTTCTTGCACTGCAGTTACAAGCTACGCAGGAAATGTGAGGTGCAAGAAACTGGGAGAAAGTGCAAGAAATATGCGCCATCCGGCCACGCGCTTTATGAAGTACAGAGGCGGTACGTAGTTTCTTGCGCTTTGCATTTCTTGCAGGTCAAAATGCCTGCAAGAAACCACTTTCTTTCCGTTATTTCTTATACGTAGTTACTTTCCAGTGCTGCGTTTTTTGCAGGTTTGCACATTTCTTGCACTTCAAAGCAAGCAACGCAAGAAATGTGAGGTGCAAGAAACTGGGAGAAAGTGCACGAAATATGTGCCATTTAGCCACTCGCCGTATGAAATACAGCGGCGGGGGTAGTTTCTTGCTCTTTGCATTTCTTGCAAGTCAAAATACGTGCAAAAAAACACTTTCTTCCCGCTATTTCTTGCACTTGAATAGAAATTCGAGGTGCAAGAAACTGGGAGAAAGTGCACGAAATATCTAACCTTTCGCCATATGAAGTATAGCGGTGGGACGTAGTTTCTTGCACTTTGCATCTCCTGCAGGTCAAAATACCCACAAGAAACCACTTTCTACCCGTTATTTCTTCTGGTTACCTGCAAATGGTTACCTGCCCCCGAAACACTGCCCACGAGATTCGCAAAATGGTAATAAAAATATGCAAAAACCCCGATTTTTCCATGTTATGTGATGCAGCCAACCGTACACCGTGTCACTCTGACTGACGTGACATTTGTTTTTGGAGAAACGCTTTACATAATTTCCATGTTGTACATACTATTTCATAAATAATTTAGTGCTTTGTTTGTTTTTCTCGAGGAAGGTTGGATAACAATTTGCATATGCAGATATACTTATGTGCATTACGCAACCTTGTATGAAATGGAGCATATCCGCAGTATGTAATTCATTTCATGGCAAGTCGTCCAATTAAAGTAAAACAAACCGCAATTAAAGTTTAATTGAATTGTGTGTGTGTGTGTCATATTTTGGTAGATTTTTCGCATACGAATTTTCCCAGGAATTTCTTATCTCTCTCTTTTCATGTAGCTCACTCACCTTTTAGAAACAGGTCTATTCCTACTTCTACATTACATATTTCTCTCCCTAACAATGCAACCACCAACCACGCTGAAGAGTAAGTAAGTGAGTGAACAATCAGCGTATCTCGTCCACAGTTAACTAACTTCAGTTAACTATATAAGTAACTTAACTGTAGTGAATATCTACGTTGTTAGAAGAGCCCATTTAACTGCTCACCTTCTTCTTTAACTACTTATATGAACTAACCAATGTGTAGTAAAGTGTAGTACTGCACAACTAAATAACTGCGTTACTCACAATGCTACGTACGTACGTCGCTGCCTGCAAAAAATAAACCGTTACAACGCATGTAACCAAGGGGTGAAAGGAGTGTCATACGTCAATGTGAATATCAAATTGTTCGAAAATTTGTTAAGATTGACACTTCTGACGTGTTTTCGACTTTTGTGTCTTATTTGTGTCAAATTTAACAGTTGATAACCCTTATGTGACCTTTATATGACCTCTGAGGTCAAAATGGAGGTCACCATTGAATTCGGGGTTAAATTTCAGTTGAAATTGAAATAGATATGTCCTATGACCTTTACATGACCTCTGAGGTCAAAATGGAGGTCACCATTGAATTTGACATTGAAAAATAGTTAAAAATGACGTGTCACATGTCAAAACTGACAAGTGACACTTTTTCGTCACTTTTCGTCACCGTGACGATGTCATCGTCACAGGTGACGTCCAAACACAAAATGACATGAATTTTCGAATTCCTCATTGAAAAATAGTTAAAAATGATGTGTCACATGTCAAAACTGACAAGTGACACTTTTTCGTCACTTTTCGTCACTGTGGCGACGTCATCGTCACAGGTGACGATGTCACAGTGTCCATCTTCGAACTCGTCCTGTCCATTGACGTTAGGAGTTTACGTTCAAAATTTCAAGTGTCTATGTCTTTTCGTTCAAAAGTTATCGGAGCTACGGACAGACAGACAGACGGACGGACGGACGGACAGACAGACGGACATAACGATCTTATAAAGGGCTTTCACCCCTTAATAATGGCTTCTTTGTGATTGTTGTGAGCCGTATAATAATGCGCAGGCTACAATTCTTTCATCCACGAATTATGGAATTTTCTAGAGAATTGTTAATCACCACCATTAACTAACTAGGTTTACCATCTCTTCGCACCATTTCTACGCATTTATTTATGTAGGAGGGGTTTTTATGATGATATTGTCAGTGGGGAATTTTTATGGCTTCTGAATATAAGAGAAAAAACAGAAAGAACAATTTTTGTAAAATTATTTTCTTGAATTTAACACTCTAAAGGCTTTTGTGATCAAACTTCCTGTAACAAAAAATTGCATATAAAGGCGTTGAACTATTTACAAAATGTATTTATTTTTGATGAAATATCCAATGTATTAAGTATTTTTAAAATAATAGCGGAAGTATTTATATGTCTGAAAACCTCGAAATGCTTATGTAACAGTATGCAAAAATATTTTGAAATTTTAGTGATCTATGCGAGTTAGGAAACACACCCACAAAATTTGATAGTCGGTTATCAACAAATAAAAAATTCGAAAATAAAAACAATATATAGCCGTCCTCTGTATTACACTTGTCTAATTTCCGTGTAGGAAAAGAAAGGACATTCATTTCATCCACTGTAAAAAACATACATGCATCGCATAACACGAAATAGCGAGATCATAGATGGGCGTTATCCGGACACTTGACGCTAAAAATTTTGCCTGACACCGAACAGTGGACACCACATAATTTGTGGGACACCAAACAACAAACCCGGACACCACATATCACAAAATTTTTCGGACACCGGACATCACAGATTTTGGTTGACATAGGACACCATAAAATTGTCGTATAGCGGACATCACAAAATTTGCTGAACACCCAACATAAAAAAAATTGTAGGACACCAACGCCAAAGATTTTTATTGGACACCGGACACCACAGAATTTGTCTCTCCACAGCCGCCCATCTATGTCTCTCTGCTACCACCACCACATCCTTCTTCACCAATTTTATATTTCCCAACCAACCAACTACACACGATACGATAAGTAAGCAAGTTAGTCGAGGAGAGCAGTAAATGACAGAATAAAATGGAAAGGTGCATCATTTTCGCCCAATCCATTCCACACAGAGCAAAGCAACCTACATTCACCCTTCATCATCATCATCCTCGCCAGATTAGAAAGGGAGAGAGAGAAAAGAGAGAGAGAGATGTCCTCCAACAGGCATTGCATTGCATTGCATAGCATAGCTTTGCATCGCATTATGCACCAGGTCTATGCATGCCAAACCTAACCAAACCACTAAATAAAACCAAGCAAAGGATACAAACAAACTGAAATATATAAGAGCTTCGAGTTAGAAGTGAAGGGAAACTTGATCATTTACACGAACCAAACCATGACCATATTATGTAGAATACCACCACAAACAAACCTTCCTCCACCAACTATGATGATGATCGCTTTACACTTTATGCATTGCTGGATGGGAAATTCTCTTACTTGGTGGAGACAGGAAAAGAGAGAGAAGATTTTCGTCAGAGAGAGAGAGAGCCAGCTTTTATTTTATCCCCCCACTCGTGCCTCCCCTCGAGTATGTAAATATGCTATCTGTGCATGTAACTTTCCATCCACTGTGAGGAGGATATGGTTTGCTGGTTGGGTGTAAAGTGCAGAGCCAGTTAAGTGAAGTTAGTAAGAGGAAAAAGCCCCCAAACTATTTATTATATATGCATTACGATTGTACTACTGGCTGTTACTTAAATGTTGGATAAATCTAGTTAAATATCTGTATTTATTATGGGGGAGTGATGGCTTTTATTGGGAGAGAAGGCTGCATGTGTGCGATTATTTATTACGTGGTTGGTGCGAATAATATGTACGTATTAAAAGCTATGCATGAAAGTTATGGGAGACAGAGAGAGAGATGAGGAAAGAAGGAAAATTGTGGTGCATAGACAGATAATCATGGGAACTGCGTGTTCTTTTCACTCTATTGTAGTCAATAGGAAATTAATATGACTTGATGAGAGACGAAATGAGCAACTTGCTTCATATTTTGGCTATTTTAGCAGAAGGATGATAAGTTGGTGGCGTTGAAATTGGCAGAAATTGATGAGATTTGAGAATTTTGACCCTTGCCCCCCTTCCGCCATGGTAAAGTTGGTATGATAAGAGCATGCTTCATACTAGTATTTAGACCTGTTATGCATAATGCCTTACTTTACTTGTCCAGTAGTGGAATGACCGACTTATTATTAACTCATGTCAAAAAAGTACTCTAACCGTGAGCCTGTAAGAATGTGAGCAACTTACTAAATTTCGTAATTCCTCGAATTCTATCGCACTTAAATAAATTTTTACATGGAATAAAAGCCTTCACACATAAATACATACCGTGCATGCATGTAGACTTGATTATTATACAACTCTCTATCTATAGTTAAAAGTTAACTACGTGTCTCAATGCTTAAATGCTTAAATGAAATAAATAGTTAGTAGTGCTTGTATGTATCCTTTCTTCTGTATCCCACCACCATGCACCATGCACCACTAAAGCCTCGCCTATCCCGCAATGCCCAAGCAGAGCCAGCGAGTAAGCAGCGAGCGAGGTAGAGAAAAACTCTGCTCTTCTCTGGTGCAAATAGAAATTAGAAAGTTCTCCCCTCTCTTCTGACGTTGTACAATTATTCTCTCTCCTCCATCCTATTTCGTAGTGACTGAGTGCTATGCTGTGCTGAGTGACGGAAAATAACTATATTTTTATTTATCAAGTTAAATAGGTTGGCTGGAAATTTCGTAATTTCGAAAGCAGCGAGTTAGACGAGGTGAAAGTGGGAAAGTTTTTTTCTTCTGTTTTTCCTTTGTTTTTTTGTTGGGAGAGAAATAAACAAGGTTGGAAAAACGGGAGGGAGGGAAAGGAACATATTAAGAACAGCAGCAGGTTGTTAAATTAAAAGAATTGGAGGAAAAGAAGTGCCTTATCGGAAAAAGTGGAGCCTTATTGGTCGACCTTGTAGAGAGAGAGGGGATATTTTTGGTAGATAAGTTTTTTTAGAAAGAAAGTCAAAATGGCGACGGGGGGAGGAGCTGCGTGGCTTTTCCTGCAGTATAACAAACACTTGAACGTGATTGGGGAGGAGATTCGGAACGCTTTTCAGCAAGAGGCATGTTCCGATGCGAAGATCGTGTGTGACGGGGGATCCATCAGTGTCCACAGGCTTATCTTGGCCTCGGCGAGTCCGTGGTTGAAAGCGGTAAGTGTGAGCCTTGTTTAATTAATTAAGGGGGAAGAAATACTTGTATGTATGAAAAATATGTATGAATGTTTGGAAATTTGTGCGATCTACGACTTGGGAAACACCTACGTGCATAGTTTTACTAATTGAAAAAGTTGGATAATCTTACAATGGAGGTCTGCCAGCGTATACTCTCAGATTTTGACGAAATTAGTGTCAATCTCGATCACAAATTTTATTAATATGAAATTTCCCAAGGATGCAATCTCGTATTGATATGGTTTGGCAGAGATATTTACATAAAAAGTGGAGAAAACACACCCCAAAGTTGGCAAAATTTACGCTTTCCAAATTTACTGCGCCCTTTCTCCTCTTCGGAAACAAATATCTCCGCCAAACGTGACCATTGGCAGTGTCCTTTTGCAAATTTTGTATTACTTAAATTTGTGATCTATTGACCGTAGTTTAGTCAAAATCTGTGAGTATACGCCTTCACTTCGCTGTTAGTTAATTATTCATCGCATATCGCCATCATTCATCATAAAAAGCTGTTGTCATCTTTTTCTCCCATCTATTTAAAAAAATCTATTCATTCATATTTTCTCCCCAGGTCTTTGACGAGATGGAAACCCCCCTCGACGTGTATACCATCGTCCTGCCTGACGTCAAATACCCCGACATGCTTCTCCTGACCAAATTCATGTACGGAGGAGAGGTGACCGTGCCCCTCAAACAGCTCGGAACACTGCAAGACCTCATCCAACTTCTGGGGCTCGAACCTGGCCACGGAAATGGGAAATTCCTCATTGAAAATATACACGATAAGAGTATCACCGTTCCTGGAGGGACGAAAGTAACCGTCGTCGGACCTCCGTCTCGCCACGGGTCGAAATCACCCTCGGACGATATTGGACTTCACGTAAGTCGTAGAGAAATAATTTCAGGGATGGGCAAAATAGTTTGGCATAATGCATACCACGGTATTTTGAGCTCCGTTCTTTCTAGGCTAGGCATTGCATTTCCGGGGGTCTTATAGCCGCAAAGAGACGAGAAACTGCAGCAGTCATACAAAAATACAGCTTTTGTAAAGAAATTCACGTCTTTATCCAGGTCAAAATACATTGTTTTCAAGATTTTTTTTAAAAGAAAGTATAAATACTTTCTTTTTACCACTTTCAAAATTTTGAAAGTGGTAAAAATACTAATTTCTTCGCAAGACCTGTACCTTATACTCCATGTAATTGGGTGCAGCCCTGAAAATCTACACACTGTATTTTGAGTCAAAATCATTACAAAATCATCAATTTTGACACATTGTTTTCACGATTAAAAAACATATTTCGAAAGTGGTAAAAAGTTAACTTCTTCACAAGTCCTGTGCATATTTTCATTTGGTTGGCTTCCGTATCCTCCATGTAAATTTTTAGCTTTTTGTGGCTGGAGTTGAAAATTCAAGCCCTTGGAAGAACGAAACTCAAAATACCGTATTTTGCCCACCCCTGGAAAGAAATATATATAAAATTTTGCAGCAAGAGAGAGATAGAGAGAGAGCGAGACGCCGAGAGATGTTTTCTCTGGGACAGCTTTCTCAAAAAATTTTCTATTTTCGGAGCATTAGGGTGGTTTGGTTTGAGTTAGTTAGTGATTCGGTTTCTGGTGGGAAACGGGATGATGATGCTGTCTAAAGATAGAAAGTCTAAAAGTCATCACTTTTCCATACGGGTTGTGCTGCCAAAATCGGAAAAAGCTGAGGATTTTTCTTGCCCGGGGAAAATTCCGAGCTAACGAGTAGCACTACTAGTTTTCTTCTTCTTTAAAGTTTGTCGTTTTTTGTGTGTTCGAGTTCATCTCATCAGCCGAGCAGGATGTCTTTCCCTGATTTCGTCGCTTCCTCTTTTCTTGGCTGGGGAAGAGATTTGAATGGCTTGTTATGAAGAAATAGGATTACTCCACGTCCCAATCAATTTTCTTCAGGAAGCAATTCTTACCTGGATTGGATCTTTGTCAAATCAGAAATCCTCTCCATCCTGTCGAGATTATTATTCATTTGTGAATTGAATTTGACTTGTAGAGAATTGTATTGTTCTGTTCCTGATTTTCCATACATTTCCATTTCCTTTGTTTCCGAGAATGAGAATCCAGCCAATTTTGGATCAAATATATGGATTTTGTATCGCAATATTATTAATATTTGGTTCTATTCTTCTCTGTCTAATCCTGGCGTATGGATTCATGCAAAGTAAAAGGTTGGGTCGGATTTGTGCAGAATTTCATTAAGTTTATAGTCAATTTTGGGGCATTGTATGCATTTGGTTGGTTGGTGGTGGCTGTGCCGTGATCGAGTTGAATTATAAAAGTGTAGAGTAGAAGGAAGTGGATACTTCCTCCTTTTCGTTTTTCTCTCTGAGAGAGAGAGAGAGAGAGAGAGATAATTTTTTACGTGGCGTTGGTTTACATACGCGTACGTATGTACGTATCCTACTTACGTATATTTTAAAATACGGACAGGAGGCACGTGAAGAAGAGAAGTTTCGTTAGTTACTTGGTTGGTTGGTGAGAGTTGAAAAGAGAAGAAGAATTTCCACTCGAGATGCGATGTGATGCACTCCGAGGTAAACTGATTTCTTGGAAGGTTGAACATTTACACCCGCAGGCGAGGAAATGAACGAGTCGAAAGTTGAGAAGAAACTCGACTTACTTGGCGTATGTATAGAGTGGTGGAAAATAAAATAAAATAAAATGCACCAGCATAACAAAAGAAACGGGACGATTTTATTTAAGGAGAGAGAAAAATTGCCCCGTGTGGGTTGCATTGCATAGTTAGTTAGCTTCGGGAGATGAGATTTGAGCCGTATTTTTATTCAAAGGATTCATATTGCAGTTCCAATTTTATTACGGTTAGAAATATGTGTGTATATGTACTTATTTATGATTAAATTTGCTCGAGAAATGTGTGTACTGGATTTTCATGTGTGTAAAATGGCATGTTTTTTAGTGGCCTTCTTTCCTTTAAGAAGTCGAGCTTATAGGATTTGCATTGAATTGAATGTTTCTCTCTTCTCGTCAACTTGTTGCTTCGTGCTCTGCTAACTGTGAGAAGTGGTTGTGTTATGTATGTGTATACGTATGTATTATTGCTACTAGTAAAGTTATAATGTGGTGGGGGTGATATTTGGCTGGTCGTGGTAGGGAGCACATACTTGTTGTTTTCTTCTCTCTTTTCCTCTTACAGAGCTTTTTGTGAGGACAAAAGTCGTCATCGTATGTCGACTACTTTCTGTACTTGAGCAGTTATTTAGTCGTACATATCTCGAGTTGACTACTTTCTGTTTAAGAAAGGCTGAATAGAAGAAGAGGGAAAAATCCCCAGGATGGGCGTCTTTCCAAGTAAAAGGTGGCACGTTAAGTAAGAAGACTTCCGAGGGGAGAGTCTTCATGGCACAGGATGAGACCACGGCGATGATGATGCTTGGTGACGTGGTTCGTTAGTTTTTCTTTAAGCAAGTTGTTGTTAAGAAAGCATGTGAGAGATAGCAAAGAAAATATTTAGCATGGTGGAAGAATATTCTTCTTAAAGAAAACGACGATAATTGTAAATGTACGTGAGTGAGTGAGGGGGTTGAGGTTTGACTTTCTTATCAGAAAAGTAGAGGGCACGACGTAGCGGAGAAGCATTTCAGATTTCTTTCATGAATCCGTCTTCTTGGGCGTCAAGGATAATAAAGAGCGACGATCAGGATGGTATCGCGTTCGTTCCTAGGCTAAGTCAACCTCTCTTAAAGAAAGGGATTAAAATGGTGCGGATTTAGATGCAGGTCGGTCGGCCAGGCCATCTTTTTCCTTATTAGTTCGTTTCGTATGCACATGAGCTGGTGGGTGTCAAGTTGGTGGAGGAGAAGACTACTGACTAGGAGATAAGATTTTAATGATTTTTTTTTTCTCCCATAAGTTAAGTAAGCAGATGACTAGGAAAAAAATGGAAGAAAGGAGGACATGGAAAATGGAAATGGAGAAGGGTTCTTCTGGTGTAAGCGAAACCTTTGCATGTGTGGATTGGATGTGGAGACGTTTCCATTTTCCACATGTCGATAACACGTTCGGTTGTATGTCTGGTCTGGGGAAGGAAGGAGTAAAAAGTTGGGAGAAAAATGTACCGCGTTTTGGGTTGATGAGATGAAATGAAGTTGAAGGTTCGGTTCACTAGGCGGGCGGATGGATGGATGGATGGATAGACTTTCTGCTGAAGGATTTAAGTCCACTTTACCGTACTTCCTTGCTACGTGGATGTGGACGTGGACGTGGCGTCGGGAATGGTCGGGTCATGATGAAAGTTTAGCAGTAAAGTGGAGCATGGAAACGGTAGAAAGCTGGCCTGCTGGTGGTGGTGGAGAGAAGAAGGATCACTCCACTCGTAGGAAAATGGACCCTTTATTCGGTATCCCTTATTCACTCAGTGGTGGTGGTGGTGCCGTGGATGGTTTCAAGGTTTCCTTTCCTTTGGAGAGAGGCAGAGAGGAGAGGGGAGTTTGTAGTAAAGTAAATTCTCGACCCCACCCCACGCACGCAGACATTCACTCATTGTCAGAGTGAAGGGGAAAAAATATCCGCCTGCCTGCCTGCTTGCCACCTTTCCCACGGCGAGAAAGGAAAACAAAGAAAGGATGCTGGAAATTATGATGAAATGAAATGAGTGATGAGGACGGAGAAATGAATATTTATGAAAATTTGGGTTTAACTGTGGTATGAAAAATTGGATGGAAATTCTCTTGAGATCGGTTCGATATTTAGGAAAATACATAACTGTGATATGAAAAATTTCATGGAAATTTTCTTGCATTCTTTCCTCATGGTTTGGCGACTGCGTAGCTCGATATTTGTGAAAATCGTGGAGATTTTTGGCAAAATGTTTATGAGAATTATCGTATGAAAACTGAAATTTCATGACAATTTTATCCTCGTTTTCCAGGGTTTGGCCACAGCTCAGCTCGACGAGGACGACGATGACCCACAGAACATTGCGGCCGGTTCTCCCAAACCGGAAGATCTCTCGCTGAGTGGGAGTGGCGAGATTCGTGTCAAGTCCGAACTCGATTTCACCTCGGGTGGGATGGATGGCGATATGGAAACGGCGAACGGTGACAATCCACTCTCCTGCTTGGCTATTGTGCACGACGAAGGGATCGAGGACCCTGGATCCGCGTCGTCTTCGGCCATGTTGGCGCGGCTTAATGCCGCAGCGGCGGACCATCAACAACAACAGCAACATTTGGGTCATCACGGTCATCAGGATCAAGACGTTGACGTCGATGTGGTCGGAGAGGATCAGGAGGTTGACGTGGATGGTGGGATGGGAGATGGTAAGCAGATTTTGGGGGGAATTTTAGATAGGAAATGCATGACTTGCATCATAAGGAAACTTATGATTGACTCGATTTAGGAAATCTGTAGTGAGATTTGTTTGGGAACTTTATATAGGAAACTTATTTATTGTATTTTTCTGTCCCAGATGGAGAATCCGACATGAAACACCACGTCTCTGGGATGGAGTCCGATTCAGAAGTGAGCATTGGAGGCAGTCGTCGTCACGGTGGTGAAGAGCATCGTCGCCGTCTCTTCCGGTCCGCCCATTTAGCCGCAACCCCACAGAACTATACCGGAACGCACATCGTCGGACGGCGCGATAAGAATGGGAACGTATCTTCCAGTGGAAATGGAGGTCGTCTTGCCCGCAGTGAAGGTGGCGGTGGTGGACGAAAGCGACCCTTCAACCTTGCCGGGGGTGCCTCTGCTACCCTTAATAATAACAATGTGGCCAATAATAATAACAATAATCACGAGAAATCGCCCCCTCTTCCGCCGAAGAGGACTCGTTCCGTCACAAACGCGATGGCAGTACAATCTCACAGCAATAGCTCGTCACCAGGCAGTGTGGATTCCAAGGATAAGAGTGGTGCAGGGTCTCCAAACAGTTCGGTGAGTGGTGGAATTGGAATAGTTGACAAGCGGGTCATCTGTTTGCGAAATATTTTGTGAGACTGAGATTTTTCGTGGGAAAAATCAACTCGAAAATTAGAATTCTTTCAAAAATAGAATTATTTCTGTAGCTCTACGCGTTCTGAAGATCAAAATTTGATTGGGATTATAATTTTTTTACCTTTTTTTAGGTCTCCATCTTGGCGAAAGTTGGCACTAAAATCACAAACACTCGCACGAAGACGCCACACCTGCAAATCATCCCGGAATCTGGTGTGCTCCGTTGTTCCATGTGTCACTATGAATGCGCGTCGTACGATGATTACAAGAAGCACGAGAAAGTGCACCAACCCAACTTTTCGTGTCAGTATTGTGGAAAGGGTGAGCTAAAATTTAAGGGGAATTTGATGTCTTATTTGATGGAATAGGAGTAAAATATCGTGTTTAATTCTTTAGGATTCTTCATCAAGTGGAATTTAATTGCTCATCTTCGAACCCACACTGGCGAGAAGCCTTTCACCTGCTTCTTCTGCAAGGGCTCCTTCCGTCAAAAGGTACGTAAAGTGGCTCAATTGCCGTGCTTTGGCGTTGGTCGGTGTTTCCAGTGTGCAAAATATGACCCTCGAGGCTCGAGGGTCGTAAAAGTCAACCCAAAAGTTAGGATTACTTCAAAAATAAACTCAAAAGTTATTGAATGTCAAAGTCTCCCAAATCCCGATTTCTATACCATCTCAATCAAACTTTGACCTTCAATAACTTTTGAACGGGCAGAGCTACCGAGTTAACTTTATTTTTGAAATAATCCAATTTTCGAGTTAAGTTTTAACAAAAAATCTCAGGGGACGTATTTTCCAAACTGGAAACACATATCTAGCAGCATACACTTCTGTTTTTAAATCTAATCGTTTTTCCACCCCCACTTTTTATAGGCTCACTTGATCAAACACATTTCCTCCGTCCATCGCTATGAGGGGGATAAAGATTCGCCAAAAATCAAGCGTGAAAAGCCCGTCGGGAGTGGTGGTGGTGGTTCGTCCGGTGGCGTGGGTTCTGGCGAACTCTCCGACTCTGCCGATTCCCCACTTCCCGGAGGCAAAGAAGATTTCTCGTGCTGCTTCTGTGGTGAACCGTTCGAAAATAAGGACGCAATCCGACGACACATTTCACAATTCCATCGCGACCTTCTCACCCGGGCGCAGTAAATAATAGACAAAAAAAGTGTATAAAAATGTAGTTCGGGGCGAAAGTGAAAGTATTTTTCATTTGGTTTCATAATTATTATTAATTTCGTTCATTAGTCAGTTGACCAATAAGTTGCATAGTTTTTTTGTTAGAATTTACATAGGCGTTAGTTTTTTCAATAACTTTTTCCTCGACTTTTTTTTCATGACTAAATATTTTTTTTGAAAATAATCCGATAACATGTTTCACAATTCTGTCACGATCTTTTACCCGGCCACGTGTATGAAAAAAATGTTATCGGGTGAAATCGAAAAGTGAAAGTATTTTTCATTTCATAATTAATTTTCGTTCGTTCATTAGTCAATTGACAGTAATAAGTTAGTTTTTTGTTAGAATTTAGTCCTCATTTTTTGAGTTGGAGAACTTTCTCGTCTTTTTAATGACTAGTTTTTGTCTGTAGATTTAAGTCCTTCTTTTTATCTCTGCTTTTTTTACGAATTGAGAAAATACGCGAAACAGCAATAATTCTTTCCCGAAACTTTTTATATTTCCCTGAAAAATCCGAAAATACCATGCTTCCAAAAGAACTAAACAATCAATCAAATCGAAACATAAAAGAATTCCTTACATTTTGTGACCACGCGGATAAAAGAAGAAGAAAAAATTGGTACAAATAATGATTACAAATCAAAGACTAAAAATCAAACTTTTGCCTACACAGAGAATAAAATTAAGCCTAGAATTTTATAGGATAAGGAAAAAGACAGAGATTACATATTTATACTAGTTTTTCATTACTGTTGTTGTCGCCGTTGTTTCTTTATTACCATTAATTGACAGCTAACTAACTAACTAAATAGATTATTAATTAAGTAAGTGTGTAAAAACTCTGCTTTTTTGCTAGTTATTTACACGACATAGAATATTGGAAAAGAGTTCCGGGCAGGAAAGGGTAACATGAATGTACAATATTATAATAATTAATTAAAAATTAGTTAATTAACGTAAGAAATATTATATGGAACTCAGTGTCTTATCACAAAACCTTTTATATTTACAAAAATAAATAAATATTTAAGTGAGCTGGTTAAGAAGATAATGAAATAAAAGTCAGTGTATATTTGGTGCCTAAAACTTTATAGAAAAAAAGAACGCTAGATTTTCAAATTTATAAAAAAGAAGCCTAGAATTTCAAATTTATAAAAAATCTTTTGAAATACTACTTTGTTTTCCTATCTCAATTTCAGTTTAGGGCAAAATTTAATTATATTATGATCTTCTTTATGTAGCGAATTTACATATTTATCATGATAAGAATTTTGCGGAAGATTATTATTCTCCTCTGCAGCAGCCGCAGTGTTGTCAGCACTGAAAGAAGAAACGGTAGCAATAAATGTGAAGTATAAACTAAGATTAAGCAGATTTTTTTAGTTAATTATTTAATATTAAGACTTATGTATAATTAGTTACGGATTTAGTTTAGTTAGTGTTTTCGTGTTTTTTTGATATGAGAGACGTTATATTATATTATACTTGTTACTAAATAATCTCGGACGGAGGTGGGAGAATGATGATGATAATGATATATAAAAAACGATTATCTGATGTTCTGATCATGAAGATGAAGATGTAATAAATCATATTTATGTACCTAATGAAAAAAGGATGGATGTGTTGCAAAAAAGTGTGCAAATTATTGATGAGAAAGTAATCATGATATGCAAAATTATGCAAACATGTTGCGAAATTAACAATAGGATGGTGAGGATGAAGCCGATTTTAAAATTGATGAGCACCTATGTAATGCAAACGTTTCGCAAAAAATGGTGCATAAATTGTTGCGAATTATTTATGAGATTTATTTTTAACCAAACATATTTATGCAGCTAATGATGATAAATAATGTGATGAATGTGGTGGACGATACAATTTGTTTAATCATGAAAAAGTATGTATTACGAAAAATGGAAAAAAATGCGAATTATTAACAAGGAGGACGACATTAGATGTTTTTCAGTTTTCTCACAGTACATAATAATAATGAAAAGGGATGTGTTACGAAAATGCAAAAATTGTTTCGATTAATTTCTGAAGACGCTAGATTTTTTTCAGTTTTTTCACAGTATTAATCTTTATTTTATTCATTTTACTTAAAATTTTAGCGCAGTAGGTACATACGTATCAATTCATTTTTTCTTTTTGTTTATTTCATTCTCTTCGTCAACTAAAAAACTTAATTATAATCACAATTCAACAATTATTTAGTAAAGTATGAAAAATTAAGGGGCATACATTTTGAAACTGAGTTTTATTACAATTTGGTAAAGTTGGACGACGTAGCAAAAAAACTTGATCTTATAGATTTAAAAATTTGTTAAAAGATGAATTTGTAAAATTTTGTTGGGATCGGAATAAAAAAACGTGGTTGAGATTCATAAAATAAAATTGAGAAAAAATAATAATTTTTGCAACTTTGAGGGCCGATTTTTTATTTTGTTTCTTCCTTTTAAAAAATATGGACAGATTTGCAATAATTTTGTAGTTTCCTCTCCTTCAGTAGAAAAAATCTGCCCTCGGAAAACCCAAAAAAAGATGATAATAAATGACATTTAAACTAAACTGCGTAGGTCGTACAGACATAAAAAAAATTTAAAAGTTAACCAATTTCCTGGAAAAATATTACCCTTTTTAAACAGATACCAAACTTAACAGGATCGCTTTGATTCAAATTTATCTAATTGCGAGAAAACAAAGATGAAAAAGATATTTACAAAAAATCAAAATACTGGAAATAAAATAATGAGTCTCAGAAACTTTGATCTCAACAAAAAAAAGTTGGGAATGACAAAGAGAATTGATAAATACACTTTGATGAGAATTGATTTGTCCATTTTTCCATGTTCTTCTTTTCTCTCTGGTTTTTAACAATAATAGCAATTTTTACGTAACTTATTTACTTACTTAGTTATCGATAACTAGGTACTTAAATATCTTACTTATCTTAACTATGTAGCTTATCAATTAAAGTTAATTAGTCAGCTCCTTCGTTTTTCATCATTTCTATTTCACTAAATTTAATACATACATATTTTTCTGTGTTGTGTGTGTATTTAAATCTCCAGCAGTCTGAAATTTTCTTCTTCTTCTTCTTCGACGACAGCTATAACTTAATAAGCGGATGAATCTCAAACCCTGCTGCGGCTTTTCTCGTCAAGTAGTTTGGGTTACAAGTATGAGAACGAGAGCACCATTTTTTAAGAACAAGGAGAACATTGGAAATTTCTGATTTTGTCCTCATTGATGATGTCCTCCTTGTTCTCTTAGAACACGAAGAAGGACAAGGTAACTCAAAAATCGGTTTACTTTCACTTTCTCCCTTGATGATGATTTCCTCCGCCCACAAAAGTTTTAAAGGAGCCCTTGCAAATTGACCAACTTTAAAAAATTTGTGTCCATCTTTTGTCCGTTTTCTTGTATCCCCTAATTCTACTAGCGTATCAGATTGTCCTCGTACTTGGAAAAAAAATGAAAAGTGAAATTTTAGCAACCGTTTTTTGTCCGAGCGTGAAAGTGAACCGGAACTCAGCATCATTTTTTTACGTTTCTTACTAAAACTAGTCAACCCCTTTGGACGATAAGTGTAATAGTAGTAGTAGTAGCACGTTAATAATAATAGTAATAATTTCTGGAAATTTTTTTGAAATGATGATGATAATGCAGCAATAAGTTTTTGGCAGCATTCCTTCTTCTCCCTTCTTTTTTTAACAGTTAATAACACGACGACGAATCTTAGCATAATAAATCTTTCTACGAGTTGTTCTTGTTGTTTTTGAAATTGTACGAGAAATTTGTCCCTAGATTTTTTACTTGGTATATTTAGTAAATAATTAACTATAGTAGTAATCCTAGAATCACTTAATGTTGTAGTTATTGTTATACTCGGCCACGTGTCACGTGTCCACGTGTTCTTTTTCATGAGTAGTAATAATTGTAAGTTGGATGTTGTTCTTGTTCTTTTCCTCCTCCTCGTGTCCATACTTTGTCCGTGAATTTTTTTAAGAACAATGAGAATAATAATGCTACACGGTCGACTAGTAATTCTTCTGAGTTTGACCCACGCCTCCTGCCACGTGCCGGGTGAACACGTGGTGGCGGGGGTGAAAATCCTACCAACTTTCTCTCCACCCTCGCTACGATAAGATAAGGTGCCCATCACCACCACCACCCTTATAAATTTAAACACTATCAACAACCTGGCCTGGATTAGAAGTAGTAACAGTAGTAGCAATTTTAAATTTAATTCAAATTTTTTCGCCGTACCCCGGTTTCTTAATTTAAGAAATTTCAAATTGAACCCTCCCCCAAACAAGGGAAAACCTTCACTACTACGAGAAAGTACGCAAGTACGATGCATAAAATTCTTCTGATGGCAACGACAACAATCTATTACAAAAATTGTAAAGATTTTCTCCCTAAAAATTCTCGGTAGCTGCTTTCTCCTCCTCTTTTTTCTACTGGTACAATTATTATCATCGTTCTCCTTCCCCCGCCGCCGCCCGTCCCCCACAGGATCACACCCCCACTCGTGGCGGTGGTGGCAGTAGTAGCAGCACTGATACTTTTCCATGGCTAACCTACTAATTTTTTTACTTGTACAATACTTTTTTACGTCACGATTAGTGTCCTTATCCTGCCTATTGGTAAAGAGTAAACAGTAGTAGTCCCTCCTACGAGAAGAAGAAGAAAGTTGTAGTGATGATTGTACGGAAGCAGAATTGGAGTCGTAATTATTTCCTAGCTTTTTAGCAATATCCGCAGAGGAGTCAAGTCTCGTCTTCGTCGTGGGAGGAGAAAGTTTCTGATTTCTGCCCGAGAAAAATAAGAGTAGGAGAAAAGACGCGACTTTTTCAGGAATCCAGCAGCCGCCACCGCCGCCACCCTCCCCGTAGAACAACAATCGATGAACACAATATTTTTTTAATTTAACACCACCACCACTCCACCACCAACTTAGAGTTGATCCTCCCCACCAGTCGGACAGGAAATGAAACCTCGTGGAAATCCAGAGCACCACGGCGGAAATCAGCAGGACGAGGAAACTAGTGCCCCAACACAGGCTGGTAGTGGTGGAGCAGGGCGAGGTGGCCGCCACGAGGTTGGCGAGCATGAGGGTCACGTGCGCCACGGCTACGACACTGGTGGCCACGGTGAATACAAATATTAATAAACTTATCGGAGTTACTAGGCTGGAGGAGGAGAGGAAGGTGAAATAAGTGAAGAGTTCGAGCAGAGTGGGGGGTCTTTTCGCCGGGGGGGAAGAAGAAGATCTTTCTTGACGGGTGACTCTCTCCGCGACATGGTTATCTTGCTGCCGGGATGATGATATCGTGTTATCGGCAAAGGTGAAGGATTCGTCGTCGTTGTGACGCGTTTTCAGAGGAATTTCCCCATGTAAGAAGTGTCGCGTCGGGATAATCCGCTTTTTCAGGAGGAGAGCCGCAGCGGTTTGGGGGTGATGGTCAGCACGGTCCAGCACGTGCTCATCACCACCACCACCGCCACGATGACCAATCACGATGGACATGAATGCGTCCTTCTTGCTACTTGGGAATAGCTGAACACTTGCACGATTTTTTATCACTTTTTTATTACCCCCCAAAAGAATCCCCGGCCTGCCCGTCGTAGCCTTGATGACCACCTTCTTTTTGACCTGCCGCAACAAATCCTCCACTTCGCTGACCTCCTCCTCGTCGTCAATGTCCTCCTCCAAATCGTCGTCTTCTTCGAGCTCGTCGTCCAGCACGACGTGTTCGAGGAGACGTTCCGTGCTGGTGGAGCCCTCCCCTTGCTGCTGGTCTGGCTCCGTGTCCATGTAATGCTCGTCATACTCTACGTCTTCTTCTACTTGGGAAATGTGCGTTGGGTTTGGCGGCAGGTCGATTGTCTTAAAAAAGAGGGGAGGCAGCGACAACACGGAGGACGAGGCGGGCGGGGATGACGACGACGACGAAGATGACGACGACGGCGACAAATCCCCCTCCAGCAGGAGACCAGACCCGACGTCTTCTTGATTGTCATTCTCACTGATTTCACGCCGTTCTGAACTTCGTTTCCTATTTTTCACAGAAAACTTGACAAGTTGCGGATCAGACTTGATTTCTTGGATGGGCGGCCGCGGAGGGAAGACGTCGTCATCGGGAGGAGAAGGAGGCGACGAGGAAGAGAGGTCCTCTCCACCGCCGTCTTCTTCCTCCTCATCTCCGTCCACCGCGCTGCACTCCCCGTGAGAATTACAACAGTTCAGGATGACCCGGTTTTCCGTGGGGTCGTCGGCCCCCTCGGCGGAAGACGAATTTGCATACTTGGTGGTGGGCAGTGATGTCGTCGTGGGAGGAGGACCCGTGGTAGGTCTCCTACTCGTCGTGGCAGTCTTCTTGGTGGGAAAAAGGGGCGAAGAAGGAGTCGTCGTTGTCGTCGTAGTGCTTGACAAATTGGAAGAATTTCTTGTCGTCGCGTTGTCGAAAATGGTCAACGTCGTGCTGAAAAAGGCATCCGATCCGTAATTTGGGTAATCTTTTGTAGCATCGAAAATCACAAGGGAGGACGCATACGTCCAGCAACAGGTAGTGTAGTGCATGGGGATGGGGGAGGAGGAGGTGGCCGTGTCGTCGTCGTAGGAGTCATAGCCGCCGCCTCCTCCGCCGCCATAGTCGTAGGGGGGCGGGTGATGGTTCGGTCGGGGGGTCGTGTAGTCTGTGTCGTCGTCGTAGGTTTGGTCACGTCTCGTCCGTCGGTGGTGGTGGTGGTGATGGAGGTGGTGGAATTGGTGGGTGTGGATCCTCCCGCCCAGACTGAGTCCGAGGGGGGGATTAGTGCAGATGTTGTGGACGTGGTCGGGGTCATCGTCTTCCTGGGGGGCGAGGCAGAGGGACGTGGTGTAGGCGGGGTCGGAAGGGTCGTCATTCTCGAGGGGGCAGTAGAACGCGGGGTGGCCGCCGTATTGACTCACTTGTGGTGAGGGTTGGCCCAGCAGGTCGAACTGGATCCGGTCGGGGGACAAGTAAGGGCAGAGTCGCATCACTTGGTGACAAATTGAGGCACAGCTAGGGCACGGCATCAACTTTGTGGCGCAGTCCAGAGAACCGTCCGCCGTCGTGTCGGCCACCACGGCGCACACCCATTCCCGATAGGCTTGCTGCACAAGGGGAGAGAAGAAACGAGAGAAAATTAGTTTTTTGGGGAAATTTCGATAAAAAATTGGAAACAATTATGGACTGCATGCAAAAAAATTAGTCATACGGTCTCGTAGGGTTTATAAAATTCCGAGGGAGTAAAAAACGGCAAAATTGATCTAGTTGTTGGGAGAAAGTTGTTAAAAATCGGGCAAAAATTAGTCGGCTTGAAGTGTACAAAAAGAATCCAAGTTTTATCAAAAAATGTGAAAATTGAATCGAAATCTAGTACCCTAGTAATCTAGTAAAAAATAGAATTTTAGCGTCAGTCTGCAAAAACCTGTGACACACTTTGCAAAAATGAAGAGAAACTCAAAATCGAGTCAGTTTTTAGGAGAAAGATATTTAACAAAAAGGGTTTAAAATCCATTAATCTCGATTTTGCCCCAAATTAGTCTCTGCTACAAAAACTCTGTCCTTATGAACAAAGTGGATCACAAATTGTGTCAACTTTGTGTCAACTTCCAACAAACAAAGGAAAGTAAAAAGTAAAAGGATTTTTGAAGTATTTCAGCAAACAGAGAGATGGGACTCACCCGACACAACTGGCACTGTCCCCTCTTGACATTGACCGAGTACTCCTGCCCACAATCGAACCTTTCTAGGATGACGTCTAATTCGCAGTATATTTGCACGGCTCTCCGCTCGCGCGACTCGAGCTCTGTCCTGTTGGAGAGGTAGGGGGACGTCCACAGCGTGGTGCAGAAGGAGCCCGGCCTCGTGACCCAGGCCCGCGCGGACGGACACACCTCGTCGTCTGGGATTGCCCAGTGGGACCATGACGACGAGTTCGCCCATGGTGGGGACGACTCCCCCGGCGCGGCGGCAGTTTTCGAGGGGGCACTCAGAGGCAGGAGGAGGAGAGCGAGGATGACCACGTGGAGGAAGAGGGTGCCGGAGAAACGGAGCCCCCATGGACGTTCAGCACAGCGACGAGACACCCTCTCCGTATTGGGTGAAAGCAAACGCTGCGGCGGAGGCATGCCGCCACCTGTTCCAACACCCAAAGCATCGCACACTCAACACCAATCCTGAAATAAAATATCAAATCACAGAGTCAATCAAATGCTGAGGCTTTCAATCGAAGAGAAAATTTCCTAAAAAACGTTTTATGGTTTTGGAGGCTGACTTTTTAGACAGTTTACTACTCATTTACCAATTTGAGCCTTAGTTATATGTAGATTGGCACAAATTACGAGTACGAAGGGAAATATAGAGTGCAGAAATCAATTAATTAATCTGATAAATACGTGTAAATCATATAAAATTGGTGAAAATGAAGAATATTTTAAAAATCTGGTACTTTCCTAATTTGCGCCAATGTTATAATTCAACTATGGCGCAAGCTACGAATAACGAACCAAGTAAAAATAATAGGATAACTTTCTCTTGAAAGGTGTGTGTGTAAATCTACGCCATTTACTTATCTACTGCAAAGAATAGAATATATGACTCATCTGAATCTGCCAATATATCTACTTCACTAACTTGCACCCTAGTTATAGTAGTTTAACTAGGGTGCAAGGTGCCTATAAAGACGCCTTACTATAAAGTACGTGGGCTGGTGAAAGTTAGTTTAGTGTAACGTAAATCCGTTCCATTCGCTTACTTTGGAGCCTTTCTCTCTTCCCTGTGCTGCACTACTTTCACTGGAAACTGCTACTCGACAAGTAGCTCATATTCCTACTTGGCTCTCCCTCTTTAAACCCACTTGTCCGTATCTATTCCGAGTTAGTTACTCACTCAACTACCTGCTTTCACTCACCAGATCGGCCCTCCCATACAAATTCCCTCCCCAGCACCACTGATTCATTTCTCCTCAGCCACAGTATCATCTCTGACCAAGCAGGAGACCAAGGAAAAAATAAACCTAAAACCAAACCACTTGGCATTGGCGTCAAATTTCGTCCCTCCTCATTGTCCCTGTCAGGGTTCGGATGCGTAAAAATCCAATTTTACCAAGTCAATGGGAGAAAGTACAATTCTCCCGAATTTTTACCGAGTTTTTTACCACTCCTCAGAGTAAGTAGAAAATGAAGAAAAATGAATGTTCTCTATTTTTACACCCATTCAAATGTATGGAAACTTGGAGAAATCTGAAAAAGTGCATTTTCCCAACTTCTACTAGGTTTCAAATAGGTGGGAAATGGGATAAATAGGAGAAAGCGTTATTTTGCCATATTCTTCTGCGACATTTTAAATGAGCCGCAATAATCAATCTACTTTTTTTACATTTTATCAACTGTAAAACCCCTTTTTCCCATGGTAAAACCACCTTTCCCATTTTCCCCACCCTCAAAACCCCTTTCTCCCACCTCTCTTCACAAAATCATGCTTTTGCCCGAGTAGCGAAACCCTACTCACTTTCTCCCTACTTTCTTTTGCTTATTTTACTTTACTTTACTTTACTTTTCACCATCCTCACCACCACCACGACGGAAAGAATCCTTACGGTGAAAGGAGGCAGGCAAGCCGTGAAAGGAGACACTGGCAGGAAACACATGGCGACGGAGAGAAAGAGATCAAATTCCGTGTCTCCGTCTACAAGATACTTATCTTGTACTTGTGCTGCCCGGTTTTTATTTAACGGCTCATCTCACACTTTGTTTACGCCATGCCATGTCTGCTTTCAGAATATTTACATTTCCCCATTCCCGATTAGAGGGATAAAGTTTCCTCATAAAAAAAATCATGGCCATTTTCTCCCCCCGTAATTATACACGTATAGCAATAAATAAATAAAATAATGATTCCTGCCTCCATCATGATTCCATTTTTATTCGAGAGAGAAAGCCCAATTCATTCCCCTTTGTCTGCCAAATTTTGCAATTTTATTCGCGAAATTATTCTGCATTTGAAGAAACCACGAAAATAAATTATTATTTGAGAGAAAGGAAAGGTCTGGAAACAAAAATCGTCAATATTCCGGCTTATTCCTCCTCCTCACCTACTTATTTCCCAAGTGGGATTTACTTTCACCGAAAATCACGACCGACCATCACTACGCAAACAGAGAGGTAGATTTGACAAGGGGAGAAAGCGGAGAAAGTATGCCAATCCATGACTCAAATTTAATTTCGGGAATGAAATGACAAAAAAATCTAGAGAAAAAAAAATCGAATCGAATCCAGACAACGTATATTCCACTTCTCTTACCACTTCAAATTGGCAGAGCCTCTCGAAGTAATTCCTTATTGGACGTGGTGCCTGCATGATTTCAAGTTCATGATCAGAACGATGAGTTAGTTTTCTCTTTCTTTTTTGTAATTTTTTTTACAACTGTACTTTCTCTCCGGAAAGGATTGATTTGCGCTGGAAGGAAAAATCTAGTTTTCTGATTGACTTTTTGCTGCTGCTGCTTTGATTTGATGAATTTGATGATGAATCTGGAATTAATTATAAAATTTTGCTTAAAATTTTGCCCACTTTCACCGCTAAAAAAATCAAATTACTTACTTTATTTTTTACTTTCTCTGGGTGATTTGCAAGCTTTAATTTGTTAAATATTTTTAAAATTTCGTACTATTTTTAACTGGATGGATGGATCGCTTTCACTCTAATTAAGTATATAATTTTTAAAATTTCTATATATCAATTAATTAAATTAATTATCCGTCGTATTTCCAAATTCGATGTGTCGTTGCTGTTTATTATTACTGACTGTATAATAAAATTTATAATGAAGCAATTTATTTTTTCGTGATTTATTATTTAAATTTAAGTTGGGGTTGAATCAACTCATTATTTTGACTCTGCTTAAAAATAAAAGTTTCTAGCTTTCACGGGATGATTTTAATAATTTTCGATTAATGAATTATTATTCTTGATTTTTATTATGTTAACGAGCTTCGTCTTCCTCCCACACAAAGATACAAACACGACACAGGATAGTAGACGAGATGAAGAAGAAGAAGAGAAGACACACACCTTTTTGAACTTTGTCTCCTTCCTGATGGGAACTTGCAACTAATTTTTTTTTCTTTTCGATAATGGATGGACGAACACAATGATCACTTCTTGTTTGGATAAGGAAAATAATCAATAAACGAATCACATTATTCCGCTTTCTCTCTCCCCTTTTCCTTGGCCTTCTTCCAGACGAATGAAATATTTCTTCTCGGAGACAAATTAACAGGAAGGTAGAGTGGACCAATGATTAGGAAAATATGGACTAAATTTACGTGCACAACGGTTAGACAGGAAGGTAGAAGGAAGAAGAAGAAGAATAAAAAGAAAATGAAAATTGCTTTCACTTTCAGGAACTGAAATTTTCCCAAAAATACGACTTCTTTCTCTCCTCTCCCGGAAATGAAAGTGAGCCGCGAGCGGTGCTTAATTCACCTGGAAATTACTCGACTTAATTATTTTTAATATTATTTCTACACACACGGTCTCTTATTCCGGGGGAGAGATGGAGATTATTTTTTTGCAGAGAGAGAGACAGGGTACTTGAATATGGATGGGGGCAAGAGGGAGAGACAGACGACTGAGTGCGTGGCGTGGTTGGTGGTGGTGGAGGTGTGGACGAGGGGGTGTGGTTCGGTGGTCTGGTTTGGTTTGGTGATTGGAGTAACGAAAGAAAAAATACTTGGAGGCAAAGAGTTATAAACCTGCAAGTTTTTAAGAGGGGAATGGTTTGTGCCCCAATTTCAGTCCGGAATCCATTTTTGACTGTCGGGGTGCAGCCCTGCGCTCTCGGCTCACCCGAACTAACCAACACCCGGGTCCCCGACGGAAGTATGATACGAGAGAGAGAAAGAGAGAGAGAGAGAGAGAAACTCTACCAGAGGAACAGAAGAGAGAGAGTCAAGACCAAGAGGTCTGCTGCTGCTGCTGCTGAGCCGTCTATCCCATCAGGAAAGATATGTAGAGGAGGAAGAAGACGAAGAATGAAGTAGGATGCAGCCACCAGCAGCCAGCCAGCCAGCCAGCCATGCCGACTACGAAACGTACAGATTCTTCCATGCTATGCTACTAGAGACACAATGCTTTCTCCAGCCAGCAGTAGATCTCTGGTGGGAACAAGTGGTGAAAGAGAGAGAGAAGCATGTATTCTTCCATGGATCGAAGTATCCTGAATGTATGAATGGTCGGAGAATGCTTGGTTTGGTGGCAGAGACGAGGTGAAAGCTTGCGGAGTTTTTTAAAGGGGAGAAATTAAGGTATGGTTTTGCAAAGAATTTTTTTAGAGAGAAAATTTGCAAAGGTTTGATCTGGGATGAGTTTAAGGTCCACTAATTCATGCAGGAGGGGAGAGAAAGTGGGGAAAAAGGGGGTGTGAATTTTCCTAATTAGTACCCAAAGCGGTCTCAAATTCCCCCTTATTCGGCATGAACGTCCCTACACGTCAACTTTCATCTATTTCAATCTCTCTCTCTCTCCGTAGATCCTCACCTAGCTCGGTGGGAGTCTAGCCTAGTCTTACGTACGTACGGTAACTACATCCATCCATCCAGCTCCTATGCCTTTGGGTTCGGTTAGCTATGCAATATTCACCCATTGAGCTCTTTTCTCTCTCCACCAAGACGGTGGAGAGAAGAAGAGATCGCGTAAGTGAAAGTAGTAGAGTAGTCAAGAGTCCAACTGCTTTCACCGGACTAGACCACACACACACACGCCGGGATTGGCTTTACCCACGGCCACCACCACCACCACTTCTTCTCTTATTACTACCCACCTCTTCTTCTTCTTCTTCCTCTCTGATGATGCAGTTAGCTGCACTTATAGAACGTATAAGGCTTCCTTTTCTCCCTAGACTACTTGGACTTTCACTTGTTCCACTACTTTACTTTCCTTTCTTCACCAGAAAGAGAAAGGAAATTGCAAGGATTCCGTGGTTTGGTTTGGTTCAGCTCAGCTTACCTGCAGAAGCAGTCTCAACTTTCTCCCGACTTTTAAACGCAAGGTGGAAGGTTATATGGCACACGAAATGAGAAATCAGTCGACTACTTTCTCTCGTTCACCTTGGAGCAAGCGAGTGAGTGAGTGAGAGAGAGAGAGACTTGCTAATTAAGTTATTGGCTGATCCAATCGGGGTGAAAGTTCCAGGATGATGGTGGTCTCTGGTCCTACTCGTGGCTGGCAGGCTATACTACTTTCTATAACTTTCTCCGTTTCAATTAACTGGATGCAAATCCTGCCCGTATTGAAAAATGTGGAGATAGATGGATGAAGAAGATAAGATCCTTGATTTGGGATGGAATCCTCATCAAGAAGAAGAAGAAGAGGATTCGGGGACTTGTCATCTTTTATTACGTGTTCCTCCTACCTATGTGGCCTTACTTATTGGTGGGTTGCCATGGGGACGAGGAGGACGAGGACGGATGTATGTATCGCCATGATGATGACTTTTGTATGTGAAAAGAAATAAGTTTCGGCTTAGCTCCGCCACTCGAGAGGAGGAAGATGTATGCACCAACCGGAGAGAGAGATAAGATTTTAGGAGGACTAATCAGATCGCCCATGTCTCTGATTCTCCACATGGCTGGATATCATTCATATGTCGACATGACGACGAATACCACGGCCAAACGGAGGTAGTAGACGCTCTCTCTCTCGTTCAGTGAATATTTCTAGATTTCTTTTTTTTCGCGTGTGAGTGAGGAGGGAAGAAGATTGCGATCTTCTAGCCGTTGTGGTGGTGGTGGTGGTCGAGGGATATCATGCATAGGTGGATGGATGGATGGATAGGTGGGGAAGAGATTGACCTGATTTCGTTTACTTTAACACGGCAGAGTTTCTTTCATATGTGGGAATGGAGAGCCCGAGGAACAGGGTGGTTTGGCCGGAATAACGGAGGGTGGACTGGACTAGACCAGAGTAAAAGGGGAAAACTGAAGTTTCCCTTCTTATCTGGAACAGTGGAATAGTAAAATCAGGACGAGCAGAGAAAGCGGTTCTAGGTTGATTTGCATAAAGTTATTTTGCATAAGGGTCATATGGTCTAATCTTTATTGAATAAACACCTTTTCACATAATAGTACTTTTTACATAAGTGGATATCACATAATTTTAGGATTTAGTATACTCGTGCATTGATGCAATAGCCAATGAATCTCAGGTAAGGGGACATTCGTAAACTTCGTAGGGCAAAGAGGGGTGGGTGGGTTGTCAGGGCCGAATGACACATGCTAAAAGGGGGTGGGTGGGTGTCCAAAGGTGTAAAAAAACGAAAATTTGCGTTATGAAGTTTACGAACGTCCTTCAATCTAGGATTTCAAGTTTATTTTTTGGGTTACATAAAAACGTGACGAGTGTTTTGAAGCAAGCTTGGTTCCCTTTTCTAACCATTTTTTTGTGAAGGAGACCATTCAATTTCTTAGAAGCCAGGTCCTTATTCTTGAAATTTAGTTTGTTTATTGGAACACTGCGTTGTGCAAGAGAACAAAGGCACCAAAAAACGATGGACAGAACCAAGATGTGTACAAATTTTGCACAAATTTTGTACAAATTTTGTACACATTTTGGTTCTGTCCATTTCAAAATTTGTACAAATCGAACGAAAACTAAGATTATGCGAATACCATTTATGCGAAATTGTTATTTTGCATAATTTGAAATTAGGCAAATTCCCATTATGGGATATGGGTGTTATGCAAAATAATTTATGCAAATTAACCGGAGGCCGAGAAAGCATGGGAGGAGAAAGTCGGGGGCGAAATATTGAAAGGAAATTAAATGTTCTCACCATGCAAAATTCTGACCCAATTGGGTGAAAGGAAATCAAATTTAGGAATTAAAATTGGCCTCGAGAACGTCGATCCTTTGTGCGGATGACATTTCCTGTCTCCAACGAAAAAGGGACAAAATAAATAAACAAGACGCAAACGGAGGGGAGATAGAAAAGGAGAATGATAAATTATTAGTTTTGAGGAGAGCAAGGAGCCATATTTTCCATACTCTTAGAAAACTGGTATTAAATCATTACTGACAAGAGTACATATTTATACATATGTATATATGACTCTACCTGCACTGGTAATAATGGGCAATTTTATCCGTTTAACAATGCAGTAATGAGAAACTTACCATTCAGAAACTTAAACAACTTCCTCCCGGATTGGTAATAGTTTGTTTCTGAATGGTAAATTTTGCATTCCCACAACATTACTACACGGTATTTCCCTTTTTAGCCCGAGTCAGGGCTTATGGAACCGTTATGTCCGTCCGTCTGTCTGTCTGTCTGTCTGTCCGGCACGATAGAGCCAAAACGGCTGAACCGATTGACCTGAAATTTTTACCATACACATATTGGACAAAGTTAGGAAACGAGTTCGGAGATGGGCGTGATCGGTCCAGTGGTTGACCGGTGGGGGTCATCGGAGTGGGTGGGGTACTATGTACCAAAATTTCAAAATTGTTGTAGAGAGCTGAAATTTGGTACAGAGGTTGCTAATGGCTCCTAATAGATAAAAATGACTTCCAGTTGGAAAAATTTTCATCTTGAGTGACCCTATCAGGTGACCCATACCGATTTTTCAAAACCATCATATCCAACTGAAATTTGGTGGAGAGGTTGCTTATGGGTTTTAATGAAAGAATATGAGATGATATTTGTAAAATTTTTATCTGGAGCGACCCTATGGGGTGATCCATACCGATTTTTAGAAATTGCTTTAAAAAGTTGAAATCCGGCACAATTATACTTAATGGCTTCTAATTAAAGAATATGAAGTTAAAAGTGAGCAAAGTGCAACCAGAGTGACCCTATGGGGTGACCCATACTGATTTTTAAAAATCATTATATTGAGCTGAAATTTGATATGGAGGCTGAAAAAGTGAAAACCACTGCTGGGTAGCACATGCATACAGCTTAGAACTTCAGGATGTTAAAGAAGCCCACTGGTCATGGTGGTCAAGGCACATGATTTGTAACTAATTCAAAAATTTGGTACCAAATGGTAGAAACTATCTAATAAACTTTTAACCATCCACAACGCGGAAGTTGGTGATATTATGTCGGTCAATTCAGAAAAAAAATTAGAAGCGGGCTCTGACTTATTGAGTCAGGGACTATGCCCCTGACTCGGGCTATATGGAGTCTGCACTGTAGGTTTTATGTATTACCGTGCCGATAAAGTCATGCAACGATTCAATACCATTTTGCTGAGAGTGTAACAGCTTTCTAGCCAATTTTGGCCCATGCTTGCCCCTCCTTATCGGGTAGTCTCACCTACATTTCATGCGAGGTGAAAGTGTGTAAGGAATCGTGAATTCGTGTCGTTGCAGAGGTTTTATATCAATCTGAATAAACAGAGATATGGATAAGGGACGAATCACGACCCGACCGAATTGAATGTGATGATGCATAAATTCATCTTTTTTTCTCTCCAGGTACAAAACTGTTTACTTTATCACGAGTGGAAATGCAAGGGCAGACAAAAGTGTGCATGGGACTGCCCTCCACACTTTTGCCTGGAGATGGAATGGACGCTGGATAATTCGTGCCACATTGCAAATAAAAACTTGAGAGGAAAAATCAATGTGCGAAAAATATTTATTTAGAAAGGGGAGAAATTATTGCGAATAGAAATCAAGATAAGAATGATGAATCTACAGAGTTAATTATGCATGCATTTAATTGCTCAGAAAATTTAATTTAATTTAAATCAAATTAACAAAGTGTAAGAGAACTTTTTGCATAATTATAATTTTCCATGTTTTTTCCATTTGTGCAAAGAGCATGGATTCATGCAAGATTCAGATTTTTTGCAAATATATTTTTTTTGTACAAAACTACTCACAATTAATTGTTTTGCATACAGCAACTTACAATTAATTTTTGCGCAGGTATGCATCCGAATTAGATTTATTAAATAAAATATCAGTATCAAATTGTGAATTAGGTAAAGCTCATAGAATTTTCTAATAAGTGTGATTATTTGAATTGATAAGTTGCTATAAAGTGACAAACTCCGAATTACCTTATCTGGTCGTCTTATCCGGCGTGCATTTTGCAGTCATTTGTTTGCATTTTAGGTCCGGTCCGGTTGAGCCGATTTGTTAGTGGGGTGAGCCATCTGCCCCAACTTTTGTGGATTCTTCACCACCCAGACAGCGCCAGACTCGAATCAAGCTGAAAATAAATTCAACTTTTTTTATCCAGAATACAACAAAAACTCAAATCTGGCTAGAAAATCATACAATTTTAAAACTTTGGAGAATATTAAATCATAAAATTAATTATTTAATTAAAGTGCGATTCGCCTAAAGTGCGAAACCAATTTGAGATTATTTTTAGTTAAGAGAAAAACCGAGATTTCACAGTGTGCCGAACTTTTGCTCAAAATTTTATAAAATTGTTATTGTTTTTATTATCATTGAAATTGGAGACACTTTTTTAAAACCTAACAGAATTAAGTAAAATGTCAAGTTAACAGGATAATTAATTAATTACTAGGTTTGTTTTTGTGGTGGTGAAATTCTGGTTTAATTTTGTAACTAGTTTTTGAAATTGGACGATTTTCAGTTTTGTTTGTTTAAGAAGGTCAAGAATTTGAAATTGACATGAAAAAATCCAGAGTTTAAAAAATAGTTAGATTAGAAATCCAAACTTGTACACAGTTTTTAATCGTAAATTAAAATCGGCTGCTTGTGCTGTATTTCATTCCTTATCTAGCCTGACACCGTAATTTTTGCAATAATTAAATATCTAATTTCTGAAAAGAGTTGCCTCCTCCTATGCAAACGAAACGATTAGCCTTTACAAAAATACTTAGCTATGCAAAGCTTGATTAAGTAATTAAGTTCTTTAGCCAGAAAAAACGAGTTGACCTTAATACCCAATCCAGCTGATTAATAAATCAGTAAATAAATAAATAATAATAACGAAAGTAAACATATCGGGAAATGTGTGATAAAAAGAAGACGAATGAAGACATCTAACTAATTTATGGATTCCGAAATTTCTGATTATAATACAAGGTAAGCAAGCAAAGTTTTCGTGTTTTTTTTAAGTGCATCCGGTCCGGTACGGGACAATTGTTACAACTTTTCCGAATTTGTGTACCTTTTTTGTATCACATTTTTTAAATTCCTACGATTATCTTTTTTGGGTGAACAATTTAAAATGCATCCGTTATGGGATGAATATTTCAATTTTCTCGGGATTTTATACACTTTTTTAAACCAAGTTTTTTAAACGTTTCTTTGATTTTTATTAAAGTTTTCTTCACATTACATTTCATTTACTTATCAACTCAATTATTTATTTAATGTTCATACCTTAAATAAATAAACTAACGACTTCAAAGTCATACAAATGCAACAATTAGGAAAAAATGAGCGAAAAAGTGCTCTTTTGTATGCATCATTATTAATTAGCGTTCCCCTCGTTTTATCGGTTATTCTGGTGTCATCATCTTGTTAAGTTTTGCACTTTTTGGCAGCCTTTCTCTGCCCTCCTCCTCCTCCATTATTACCAGTCGTTTTGCTCCCAGAAAAGCGAGAACAATGCGAGTCAAACCATATCCTCGTCAACCCAGTGTTTCGGGTGAAAGTAACGACTTTCAAGAAATAACGGCAAGAAAGTGGTTTCTTGCTGTTATTTTGACCTGCAAGAAATGCACGGCGCAGGAATCTACGCCGCGCCGCTGTACTTCATACGGCGCGTGGCTGGCTAACTCTTATTGCTTGCACTTTTTTTCAGTTTCTTGCATCTCGCATTTATTGATTTGCTTATTTTACAGTCCAAGAAATGTAGCAGATCAGCATAAGAAACGAAACACTGGCAAAGTAACCATTGGCATAAAATAAACGCAAGAAAGTGTTTTTATGCAGGTATTTCAATTCAACCTGCAAGAAATGCACGGCGCAAGAAACGACACCCGGCCGCTATACTTCATATGGCGCGTGGCGAAATAGGTGGCGCATATTTCTTGCACTTTCTCCCAGTTTCTTGCACCTCCCATGTCTTTCCTTTCTTTTTTTCCGTGCAAGAAATGTAGAAAGGAAACCCTGCACCCATCCAGTCAGCCAGCCAGCAAGGAAAATAGAGATAATAGAAAGCGAGCGAAAGTTTACTCAGGCCGTGATTTTACAACATAATGGGTTAAATAGGGCGGAAGGAAGAATCAATAATTATTGTTTGCTCTCTCTCCTCTCTCCGAGAAGCCGCACAACCAAGAATTCAATTCAACCTTCACTTTCACTTATTATTATATTATAAATATATAAAAAAGGGGAAACAAACTTTTGTCGACATTCTCCTTCTTCTTAAACGAATTACTCACTTTTTTCGCTCTCCACAAATTGGGCGGGACAACGACAAATAGATTTTTTTGGGAGAAGGAAAGGAAAGGAAGCCTAAAAAATCAAATCTGTTCTTAACATTTTTTTCTTTCCATTTCAATTGGAATTTTGTACCCGGTGACTTTTGGAATCCTTCCGGCGAGACATTACTTTCACCTGGGATTTTCCGCTACTCGTGCAATCTGCGTGCGTGCATTAGTGATTTTTTTTCGGGAGAAAGTTTTTCTCTTTTCTGGTTTGAATTTGAATTTAAAAGTCAACTCAAAGCTGTGAGTGGCAAAGATGGGGAAAATACTGCGGGGGGTCAAAGTACAGCATTTTTGAGCTTCGTTTTTCCAAAGGGGGTATGAATTTCCGGGGGTATTATAGCCACAAAAGGATGAGAATATGAAAGTCAAACGTAAATATGGGCAGGTTTTGTAGTTAAGAAATTAACCACTTTAAAAATACTTTAAAAATCGTGAAACCGATATATTTCGACACAGATAAAAATGTGAATTTCTTTTAAAAAAAATACATACATGCGTTTTCATATTTGCGTTTTTAAGCTGTTACAGTCCAAAAAGACGAGATTTAGAGGAATAATACGGTAGGCATTTCGATGAAGGTACCCTTTCATCGCTGTTAAAATACGTATTTTTACAATTTAAAAAATGAGTATTTTGACAGCGATAAAAAAACGTAAATTTCTTAAAACCATATATTTTTGAACGATTGATGTACATACTGACTATGTAGATTTTCGTCTTTTCGTGGGTGTAACAGCCCTAGAAAGAACGTAGCTCAAAATACAGTATTTTGACCAAGTATTTTGCCCACCTCTGGTCGGTGAGTAGCAGTCTCAAATTTTGCATGTGTCACTCCTCTCCATCCGGCAGGACGAGACCACCTTGAACCCATCACAGCTTTTTAGTGGATGAGATGAGAGGCAGGAAAAATATAAAGTTGAAGCCACGATTCATCTTTAAATTGCCTCCAGGAAAGGGAAGGTTCAAAGTCAGTAGTAATACATAGTACTTTTTGAGTTTTTTCGTCCCGTAGTAAAATCACGAGGAGGCAGAGAAAGCATGGGAGGAGAAAGTCAGGGGCGAAATATTGAAAGGAAATTAAATGTTCCCACCATGCAAAATTCTGGCTCAATTGGGTGAAAGGAAATCAAATTTAGGAATTAAAATTGGCCTCGAGAACGTCAGTCCTTTGTGTGGATGGCATTTCCTGTCTCCACCGAAAAATGACGAAATAAATAAACAAGACGGAGACGGAGGGGAGAAAGAGAGAAAGGAAAAATGATAAATTATTATTTTTGAGGAGAGCAAGGAGCCATATTTTGAGCATACACGAGCCCTATCTATGCACCCGGATCTGGACTAAATTACTCGAAAAAGTATCACGTTTCTTTCTCCCGAACAGAAATCAATATGGGTTTAGTTTAGTTACGGTTAATAAAAATATTAGGGGTATTCATTTTATAGAGTTCGCAATAAAAGAAAAAAATTGGAGTAAAATACTTTTAAAAAAACTTAAAAAATGAAAATAGTTTTTTTCTATTGAAGCAATTTCATCGGCATCTGAGGACATTTTCTTGAAATATTTTTATTGCGAGCTTTCTTTCACAAACTGTGAACTTCGTCAGGCAAAGTTTTTTGATAGAAAATTAAAAAGTGTTGTACATCATGATCATAATTCATCTCCTAAACAAATTGTTATCGTAAATATGGGTCATGGCTACTAGTGATCAAATTTTAAAAAAGGGACTAGTGTTGAGGACCATATAGTACTGACTGGTAGGCCTTTTGAAATATTCAACTTGTTTTCTAGACTTCGTATGTAAATATGTTCTTTAAATTTTCTGAAAAATTTTCTTGGCTCACGATTTACCATTCTGAAGGAGGAAGGGTCCAAATTATGATTGTTGTTGATTACATGCAAGGCTGCTGGGGATATTTTTGTGTTCTTATTTACAATTGCCTGTTTATGTTCCTTAATTCTTGTTTGGTAATCTCTTTGTGTCTCTCCTATGTATTGTGCTGGACAATTTTTACAAGAAATAGAGTAGATTCCACTTTTAGGTCGCGGGATTGTTTCTTTTGCATTACATAATAATTCGCGTAGTTTTATTCCAGGAAAATATCCAATTTCTATGTCCAACTTATGTCTAAGATATCTTGCTATTTTGTTTGTCACGTTACCTGCCCAGGGTAGAATTATCCTCTTCTCTTTGTCTTGGACGGTTTTAATTCCATTTGTTATTTTATATTTCATTTTCTGAATTCGTTGATTGATCAGTCTCTGGGGATAACCATTTTGTCTCAATACTTGTGTAGTGTAATTTACTTCATCGTTTACATGTTGTTCATCAGATAACTTATATGCACGTGTTAACAGTGTATCTGTGACCCCTATTTTGTGTGCTTGTGGATGAAACGATCCATAATTTAGATATTGATTGGTATGGGTTGGCTTCCTATAGATGTGATGTCCAATTGAATTATCACTCTTTTGATAGGTCATTACATCAAGAAATGGGAGTCGTCCTTCTTTTTCTTCTTCGATGGTGAATTTTATGGATGGGTGGAAATTGTTAATTTCTTGGAGTATCTTTTTGTTTCTCCTTTGTCTTATAATTGCAATAACATCATCTACGTACCGTCTCCAAAGTATGATGTCCCGAAAATTCTTTATAATTGAATTCTCCAGCATTTGTAAAAATAATTCTGCTATTATTGGTGATAGTGGACTTCCCATTGCTGCACCTTCCTTTTGACGATAATATTGACCGTTGTATTTGAAATATGTGGAGGACAAACAAATCTCGAGTAATTCCATAATGTCCTGAACGGTTAATGTTGTCAATTTGTCCAAGTCCTTGTATTTCTTCAGTAATTTTTCAATATATATTAGTGTTTCTGGGATAGGCACCTTCGTGAAAAGTGAAACCACGTCATACGAAACCTTCATGTCTCCAGGTCTTAATTTAATATTGCGGATCTCTTCAATAAATTTTGTTGAGTTTTTCAACGTGTATTTGTGTCCTTTGGCTAACTCTTTTAATATTTGCGATAAATATTTTGCCATATTGTACGTAGGTGAATTTCTGAAGTCTACCACGGGTCTTAGAGGAACATTGGGTTTATGAATTTTTGGTGTCCCATAAATGATAGGGGGAGTAGGATTCTTCACATTCAACATTTCTGCAGTAGTCTTTGTAAGACGTTGTGCCGAAGTTAATTTGTTGCAAATATTCTCAATCTTTAATGCTTCAATGCTAGTGGGATCTTGCGAAATAGATTGGTATGGACCTTCATTGATCATGGTTTCCATTTTATTTTGATAATCGGCTCTATTCATTACCTTTGTCAGCTTTACATATACATATATCCTTTGTCTCCTTCATTGACTTTATAGACGAAGTTATCCAGTTTTCCCATCGATTTACATAATTGTGTTCGTTGATACTGCTTTTCATGATTGACGAAACTGCAGATCTGACTTGGTCTAGATCGCAAACAAAGAAGTATTGTTTCATAAAAAAATTCTCAGAAATTGCCTTCAAAAATTAAAATTTTTCTCGTGTTTAAGACTAGTATTTAAACCGCAAAAAATATTTCTGAACAGTTACTCATTTAAAAATATTAGGAGTATTCATTCATAGCTAAAAGCAAGTTTCGAAAACAAAATCTCGAAAATTGGCTTCACAATTTAAATGCCATTTCCATCGCTAGTAATTAGTTCGCAAAAATATGTATATATGCAAAATGAACACCCCTATTGAGAATTAATTACTATCATTTTTAGCAATAAAAAAATCATTACAGATTTGCTTCAAAAGTAACTTTTCACATCTCGTTAGTAAAAAAATATGTTGCGTTATGCCAACTCGTAATGAAATGAATACTCTCTCTCAAGTAAAAAGTAAGTTGAGGGAATCCGCTTTTAATAGATTTTTGTTTTCTCTCCACACAACTGAAACTATACACGTTTTGGCTTTCTTTTTTTGGATTTGTTACCCACGGATGAGTCGACTTTCTTTCTTTCTTTCCCTGCAGGAAGTCCGTAAGTGTTATTATGATGGGGAAAAGTGTGTACCAAGATTTGATTTGTGCTGCTGGTGGAGGAGGAAATTTTGATGGGTGAAGTCGACTAATTCCACTCGACTCTTATTGCTTTTATTGTGATTTGATTTGATTTTTATTGCTGTCTTCTTTTACCCAGAGAAATATATCGTTTGTGTCTTTGAGTCGGACTGAATTTTGGTGGCTGGCTGGGTATCAATTTCTTATCTTACAAGTTCCAGGAAAAGAGACTTTCCACTTTTTCTTTTATCCACTTTATCCCCAGTTCTGGGTGTAGTTTGGCTGTATCTTATCTCTCTTTGAGGACTTGGTCCAATAATCGGGAAGAGAAAGTGGTGTCTATTCATTTTTATTCGACGAGATAGTTTCCTCTTTCTTTCACTTATTTATTTATTTATTTATTTATTTATTTATTTACTACGACCAAGAAGAAGGAAGAGAGACTGGGAAACGTGCTATTGTCTCGATTTACCCCGGGAGAAGATAAGAATTGGCTTAATTTTACAAAGGGAAATGCCTTTTCTCTTTTCCGAAATGGTGTCAAGTTTTAAATATTGGAAAAGATTTTTTAGGCGACGCGATCCCGTAAAAAGTTTTTAGTGGAGTTTTTTTTAATTTCCAAAAAAGGGAAAGTACTGATTTATTTGATTTTGTTCGTTACGTATTTTACCGCGTTTTGAGTTCCAATCTCACGTTAGCCCCTACTAAATAGGTGGAGATGTAATGTAATTTCACCCAGAGAAAGGTGTCAATTTGAGGGAAAAACATTTCCTTATTTTTTAACGCCACCTCATAAAAAGTTTTCCAGCCAAGGTTTTTGAATTAGGAAAAAGTACCGCTTTATTTAGTTTTTTCGATTACTCATTTTACCGCGGTTTGAATTCTAATCTCAGGTTACCCCTTAAGTAGAGATGTAATATCAGGTGTCAATTTGAGGGGAAGACATTTCCTTACTTTTTTAACGCGACCTCATAAAAAGTTTTCTTGTTTTTTGGAGATCATTTCCATTTAAGTGGAAGAAGAAAAAGTGCGTTTTTAGCACGTTTTCGGTCCTATCACGGGTTTAAATACCCAAGTTTTTTTGGAGTGGGTCGTGGCGAAAGATGGTAATATTCTGGGTGGTTGGATGGAGGAGAAAGTGGAGAAAATGTGTCTGGTTGGAAGGGAGAGGAACTCATGTCGGAACGATGATGTGAATTTAATCCGTGGAAATCGAATCTAAATGTTGGAATAAATCTGGGAATGGAATATAATATGGAATCAAATCTATCCACTTCGACATTATTATTCTCTTTCTCCGCTTTATTCTCTCTCTTTCGAGGAGCAGGACGAGATTAATTTCAGCCTGGTGTGTCGATCCCGTCGAAAAACAGCTTTACTCGACACAATTCGATACACTCTAAACAATCCGGGAAAATTGAATATTATCAAAGTGGGAATAATTTGTAGGAAATTTCGACCAGAGAAAATTATAAGGAAACTGAATTTCTTTGAGCACGTGGTGGTCACGTGTTTATGAAAAATCGTACAAATTTTAATATTAGCGAACAAACATTCAAATTAGCAAACTGTATCCAACTTAAATATTTTAAAATTAATTAACCGTTCAATTGTTTTCAATTTAATTTTTCAACAAAATTCGGTTTTGTCCAAACTCGTGGGAGATATTTGTTTTTTTAAGAAAAAATTATGAAATATTTACATATTTATTTTTAAAAAATAACTGAAATAATGAACAAAATTGACGAAGTCGATCGTACGTATTATACTTAGGAAAGAGATAAACTATAATCTTTACTAGTTGTTTTAATATACAATACTCATGAAAATGAAAAGTGGCGTTACACATTGCATTAAATTTTCTGAATAAACTAGAATTATGATATCGTGTAAACATCAAGGAAACAGTAACGAAAATGTCAGATTTTAAGAACTTCCCAATCAGTAATAGGCAGCAATTAAGAAAAGTTTCATAAAAAAAATGTTTTTGTCGCTTGAAATATTCCTAAAAATATAAAAATGACGTTGATTCAATACGTTGTTGGTACAATTCTTTATTTTAAAAAAATGTTTTTTTTTAAATTTCAAGCTTTGTTCGAATTAAAGGAAGAGATTCGACTATAAAATTACTTCCAAAAATTAACAAAATTGTTGTAATTGTCAAATTAAATACTTTACGCACGTCAATTTTTTGCAAATCCCTGCAAATTGTAATCCAGACTTCTTTCCTATAACGTCACATTATGGGACTGAATTATTTAGAGTGATGAATTTCGATTTGCGTAATTTTGTCCAGGTTGAGCTTTGTGGATGTCATCGTCTCCTCAATCATTTCAGTGCACAGGTTGCGTGGATGTTTTTCCGTGTGAATGCCAGATTTTGACTTGACTTGACTTTCTCCTCAGTCGACTTGACGGCAAGTCTGACTGACTTGATGGTGACAGATTTTGAGAGAAATATAATAAATCTCTGGCCTCGCCTGCCTGCCATTGAATGAATCGTTATTGCCACCAGTTTATATATATCTAAGTATTTTGGACAGAAAATCTTCACCGAGTGCACTGTGGGACCAGAGGAGAAAAGTATGGCCAAGTAAACTCGTTACTTATTTGCCCTTCAAATTTGCAAACTTACAAAGATTGCTGTACAATCTTCAAAATACGTATCAAATGTGTAAATGTTTAGCAACAAGGTTTTTGCACTTGGAGGGTTGCTTCGTAATTAATTTGATGCTAATACAGATTGTGTAATACTTTTTAAAAATTTCCAAAGAATCCGGACGTTAAAAATTAAGTTGATAAAAAACAGGTGTAGCGAATTTGAAATTTTCAGCTAATTAAAAAAACATCCTTGGTAAAAGAAATGTAATTTTATTGTAATTGTAAATTTTGACATATAATATCTCATCTGGGGACGGCTGAATTTTGCATAAAACTGTTTGTATAGGTTTTGGTCGTAGCTTTTGAGATACTGTTCGTTTTAAAAAATAGAGAATAGTTTTTCTAAATGAAATTTTTGTTTCTGCCATTTAACAAACTGCCAGATAGCCTCTCAGATTTTTGTGTACTATTTTTTTAACTAGCGGCAGTCGCAACTCGAGTATATGTAATTATTTTGGCCATATTTTCACCCTTTGGCCCCACAGTGTAGAATTTGGGTGGTGAATTAAATGCGAAGGGTGAGGAGGATTTAATAAAGCTTATTTTCCATTGTTTTCAAGATTTTGGACGTTACGTGCTCACTGGGGCGTGGTGTAATCCGCTTCCACGAGTACTTATTGCGAATATGTATGTAATGTACGTGGGTAGGTAATCTTCTTGCAGAATTACTCGATTGTTCCTTCACTACATATTTGACAATATTTCGCGAATAAAAGATTTATTGGGTGGACTGTAGTAGATTCTCGGTATTGTCATGAATGACAGGAGTTGTTGTTGGGCGAAATGAAAATGATGGAAATTTCAAGGGAAAAGTAATTATGACGCAATTTTAATTTAAATCTGGCTAATTATTGGCACGTGACGGAAGCAATTTCGTACTTTAATTCCACGTGCTGGTATTATTCACAATGGTTTAAAATTGGTTTTGTAAAATCATTCGGCTTTAAATTGTAGCAAGTTTGATCGATTTTTAGTCGCATATTTTTATAAATGAATTTCTTCTATTTAATTATTAATACTTATTTTCTTGCCAAAATTTCGCAAACTTTATTTGCCGATTTAAATCAATAAATGGTAAAAATTATCAGACCGTATCTCCCAGTAAATTAGCGGAATTGCTAAAATATTTCGTCACAAGGAACGATTTTCTGTGAAACTAACTATTCGTCAAAATCTCTCTTGCATTGTTTCTCTTCCTCTTTAATAAAGTTGCAGACTCGTTTGTGTTTACGAACGTCGTGTCGTGTCTGATTTTGATTTATGTGCTTTGTTTAATTTTACAAATTCGGAATTGTATTCTTCTTGGCGGGTCCATTGTCCTGTTCTGGCGAGGCCTATTGTTTCTTTGGGTGCAAAGTGAAAGTCAAGTCGGGTCGTCGGTGGTGGCGGCAGGCTTTCACTTTCACTGGCGGAATTATTCTCTCTGCGGCGGTGGTGGTGGTGGAGGAGCCATTATTATTATTATTATTGTAAAAGCTGACAATTGCAGGGTAGTTGTGGTTCATTTGTTTTTCTGTGACACTTTCCTTCTGATTTATGATGTTGCTTTTTGCCGGAAATGTATCTCGAGTAGAAGGGAAAAGAGAGG